AATAATAATAATAATAATAAAAGTTTTGGAAGAAGTAGCCCTGTTAGTCTGTGCAAGCATCACAGGCAGGCAAAAGCCAAAGAAACAAAACAAAGACAAAAACACGTGGAGTTTTTATTATATTTTAAGGCAAGCTTTCGTGGATCACGTCCACTTCTTCGGACATACGGAATAAAATGAAATGTAGAAGAAGATATCAGTTTCAGAACAAATACTGTATGCATTGGCTAAAGATTCTTCACAGTTTTAATCGGAACCACACTCTATCCTTTTCTAGCTCTGGGTACGAGAAAAGCCCCGCCTCCCGCTTCCAACCGCTCCCGTTCAGAGGCCCACTTTAGCCTGAAGCCACGCCCCTTACGGTCGGGCGGGTCGCCCGTGAGAGGGTAGCCCCTTCCGCCACACCTGCCTGAGGGCGTGTCTACGTCGCGCGATTCAGCCAATCGACGAGGAGCTGATGATTTCGAGGGGATGTGACGTTGCCGTAGCTGCAAAAGGCTTAGATCCCTGGTTGGTTGGTTGGTTGGTTGGTCGGTCTGTCTGTTAAGGTCCCGGATATTCTTAGTCAATTGCGGAGGGAGAGGCTGGAGGAAGATGGGTGAGTGTGCTTGTGGGGGGGCTTCTCCTTCCCCGCTTCTTTGTTCTTCGACATGGGCGTTCATTTCTGGCTGCTGGAAATAATTTACTTCTTTTTTTTAGGAATTCGTCTCTTAGACTACAAGTCCCATCATCCGCAGCTTTTCAAAGGAGAACGAATTCTGATTCTTGTTTTTTCTTTAACCTCCTGAACTCAGGATAGCTTTTAATGGGTGACTTTCTATAGGAGAATAATGGTGTGGATCATGGAGGGGGTGGCAGCTTCGGCTTCTAGAAATCCTAACCAGCATGGATAGTGTCAAGGGGTTATGGATATTGTAGTCCTAAACATTTGTGTGTGGTTTTTAAATAGATTGTTATGCATGACTGCTTTCACTGCGATTTCCTTTTCTCAGAGTGACATTTTTAAAAACATTTGCATACTTATTGATCTTTGCCTTAATATTGCCTGTTAACTGATGTAAGATGCCTTCTTATTCATTGTTCATAATTTTTAAATACTGTATTGTCTTTTAAGGATGTTAACCACTGTTGTATACTCATTGTTTTCAACTTTAAATATTGTCCTTCATTGTTGTAAGCCGCCTTGGGTCCTTTTCAAGGACAAAGGTAGGGAGAAATATTTTAAATGAATTAAATAAATAAATTGTGTGTGTGTGTGTGGAAAAAGTCTCCACTCCTGTTTGAGACTAGAGACAGAGACTTAAGAGCAAAACTAGTAAAACATGGTATTAGAATGTTTTCCCCCAGCTGTATTCTGTCACGAGAAATAACGGGAATCTTTTTATTTCCATGTGTCTTGTATAAGGTGTAGATATTCAGCCAGACTGCCTTGGACTTTATTGCATACTTATTGATCTTTGCCTTAATATTGCCTGTTAACTGATCTAAGATGCCTTCTTATTCATTCACAATTTTTAAATACTGTATCATCTTTTAAGGATGTTAACCACTGTTGTATACTCATTGTTTTCAACTTTAAATATTGTTCTTCATTATTGTAAGCCGCCTTGGGTCCTTTTCAAGGACACAGGCAGGGAGAAATATTTTTAATGAATTAAATAAATAAATTGGGGGGGGGGCGAAAAAAATCTCCACTCCTGTTTGAGACTAGAGACAGAGACTTAAGAGCAAAACTAGTAAAACATGGTATTAGAATGTTTTCCCCCAGCTGTATTCTGTCACGAGAAATAACGGGAATCTTTTTATTTCCATGTGTCTTGTATAAGGTGTAGATATTCAGCCAGACTGCCTTGGACTTTATTGTGGACGAATTGTGGAAATCATAAATGGGACCGAATATTATGGTGAATGTGGGGTAAGTGAAGTATTGGGGCAGCGCCTGTTGGGTCTCTGAAGCACACAGAATGACATATCCGTTAACACTTTAATGAGAGAAGTTGTGGTGGGGAAGATAAATATACAGTGGTGCCCTGCTAGACAGTTACCCCGCATGACAGGGTTTTTTTGCTATACATTGGCTTTTTGCGATCACTATAGCGATTCGCAAAACAGTGATTCCTATGGGGTAATTTTGCTGGAAAATGTTTTGACTGAATATTATGGTGAATGTGGGGTAAGTGAAGTATTGGGGCAGCGCCTGTTGGGTCTCTGAAGCACACAGAATGACATATCCGTTAACACTTTTATGAGAGATGTGGTGGTGGGGAAGATAAAAACAAAAATATTTATCTTTTAAATAGATCACATTTCCCAGTCCTGTTCTTTTGTCATGTGCCACCTTGCCAGCATTTTTTTCTCAGTAAAGCTTTGTTGGTGTGCAACAGCGATTTCAGTGGAATGGATTATCATCGTTTAGCGAGGCAGCACTTGTACTGTAAAAATATTTACCTGTTAAATAGATCATATTTTCCAGTCCTGTTCTTTTGTCATGTGCCACCTTGCCAGCATTTTTTTCTCAGTAAAGCTTTGTTGGTCTGCTTTATAAAATGGTCTCTGATGAAATTCTGCAGGTGTGTCCGAGAGGGCAAAGAACGGATGCCCACAAAATATGTCGTCAATGTACAGGATCTCCAGAACGCTACGACTGGCTCTATCTTGGCTTTATGGCAATGCTTCCACTCATCTTGCACTGGTTCTTCATTGAATGGTATTCAGGGAAAAAAAGGTAAATATTTCTTAAAACTTAACTTTGGCTTTTGTCAGATCAGAAGTTAAGCGTTTTCCCCAATTTAGATCCAAGTAGATAGCAAATTTTTATTCCCAGAGATGTGCAATTCACCTTTCTGCTTTCTCACGTACAAAAAATCAATATTCTGACACATGAACAAAATTAGAATGAAATAAATTTGGTATATATTCATTTGGCATTTTGAAAAAAATCAAGATATCTTGGAAATTAAAGCTTAGTGAGACAAACAGAGTTCCAGAAGAAGAATAAAAATGCTGCTTCACTGTTCTTAGGCAGGGTCTGTTAAAAACAGCACGATTTCTCCTCACGGAGAGGGTGCATATCATCTTTCTCCAATTTTCTTGACATGTTTTGGATCACACCTCTCAACACTCATAGCTGTTGGGCATCCTGGATGGAGCTGTTTGGAATTGTGATTGGAAAACATCAAAAACATGCCACACTGGTGAAATCTGATCTATAGGATTGCACGTCATTCGCTGTTCCAAGGAAAGTTTTATTCACAGGATTTGAAATGCCCATCCAAACTAATCAAAGCAAAAGCAAAGCGTGCTGCTTATATACTGGCCCATAGTGCTTTAAGCACTCTCTGGGCGGTTTACAAGTTAATTATGCAGGCTACACATTGCCCCCCCAGCAAGCTTGGTACTCATTTTACCGACCTTGGAAGGATAGAAGGCTGAGTCAACCTTGAGCCGGCTACCTGGGATTGAACCCAAGGTCGAGAGCACAGTTTTAGCTGTAGCACAGCAGTTTAACCACTGCGCCACGATGGTCTAATCTTGGCAGGTGTTCACTTTTCTCATTTTCATTGTTGCTGAGGATGTTTTCTCTCCTTCTAGCTCCAGTGCACTGTTCCAGCACATCACCGCCTTAATCGAGTTTAACCACTGCACCACGAGGCTCTAATCTTGGCAGGTGTTCACTTTTTCTTGTTTTCATTGTTGTTCCTGAGGATTTTTTTCTCTTTTTCTAGTTCCAGTGCACTGTTCCAGCACATCACCGCCTTAATCGAATGCAGTGTGGCAGCTATTCTTACTCTGCTTGTGAGTGATCCCATGGGCTCTCTGCACATCCGTTCGTGCAAGGTGGCAATGCTCTCTGACTGGTACACCATGCTTTACAATCCAAGTCCTGATTACGTTACCACCATTCACTGTACTCACGAAGCAGTCTATCCTCTGTGAGTACCATGCTTACTGATGCACCAACACACCACTGTGATTATTTTGATCATTCTGTAAAATGCCCATCTCTTAATGGCTGCCGGCAAACAAGATTTTCTGTTAGCTGGGTCCTGTGTTACATTTCCTGCACGTTTCTTTGTCTTCAGTAGAAGATGCTCCCTAGTAAGAGTAAACATAATTGCTCAAGTACAAGTGATATAAGTTTACGGAAGACATTTGGCTGAGTGGGTCCCAGCACCTATGAAATAGCATACGAAGAACAAGGAATGGCGGGAGATTAGAGGACAAACACTAATAAACTGATACAGAAATAAGCTGTCGTCTCAAATGGGAGAAAAGGTTTTTCAAAAGGAAAAGATGGCCTTCTTGGGGAAACTTTCAATTCGTCACTTTTCATTTGTGCATGAAAAGACTTCACCTCAAATAATTCATTTCCCTCTCAACAATTCTTTTGAGGCCATGATCTTTTCAGACTTTTGAACTGAATAAAAACTTTGTTCACATTTTCCCCCCTTTCTTTGTATTTTGTTGCAGCAATAAGTGCTCTTCAGTGTTCTCTGAATCCGAGACTCCAGTATACATTTGTCTTGAAAAAGTAAAATATATATATATAAGAATAATAAGAATAAGAGCAACCTTTGAACGGCAGAGCTGGAAAGAAACCCTATGGATCATCTAGTCCCGCCTCTGTCAAGGAGGCTCAGTGGGGAACCGAACTCCCAACCTCTGGCTCCACAGCCAGAGACCTAAGCCACTGAGCTATCCAGCAGTTCATAACTAGCTTGTGTGCTCCAGAAAGCAGCAGATGACCAGCCATTTCCCATTGGGGCCTTGATGATACCCTCGCAAACATCCTGGCAAAGTTAATCTTTTGTAAGCCTTAAAGTCATCATGGCCTCTGTGAATGAGAAATAATGTTTGCTAAACTTGCACAGCTACCTTGATGAGCATCGTCTGGTAGAGGGCATGTCTGTCCTTGAGTGCACTGGACCGGCTTGGGGTCTCTGTAATCACAGCTGTGAGAGCCACATATTTGGCCCCCACTGGTTCAAGGAATGGGTGTCTTGCTTCCATGTCATCCAGCCAGCTTACATCTCTGCATTCTTTTGCGACTTATTGGTGGAGAGGCCCCGAAGTTTTTGAAATTAGCTTAGTACGAGAAAGTTGATTAATTGTGCTACATGTGGGTCTCCTGGGGCAAAGGAAATGTGAGTAGGATTAAGTAGCTGGAATGTAGGAGATTGCATATCCTAAGCAAGCAGCACCATAATAGAAGTATTTGTGGGGTATGTATGTCAGGGCTCTTGGCCACAGGAAGACTTTGAAGTGCAGCTCTTTTCTCGAGAACGTTTAGCAACAGTAATCTAAAACTAACAATCCTCTCCTTTCAGCTACACCATTGTATTTATATACTATGCCTTCTGCTTGGTGTTGATGATGCTGCTCCGGCCCCTTCTGGTCAAGAAGATTGCTTGTGGGCTCGGGAAGTCAGATCGATTTAAGAGCATTTACGCTGCTCTTTACTTTTTTCCTATCTTAACCGTGCTTCAAGCTGTTGGAGGCGGCTTGTTGTGTAAGTTGTCTTTATATGTCCACTTATACAAAAAACTAGAACCTGCCATGGGGGTGGGTGAAGGATGTACCTTCTCAAGTGGAAAGATATACGAAAATCAATTCAGGTCCCTAGTGTACATTTGAGTCACTAAACATGCTTCAGAGATATTTTGAAAAGGGAAATTCTCAGTCAAAAGCAAACAGCTTTGTATTGGCCATAAAAAAACCCAACCTATTGAAAATAAGTTGGTGCGAGATCCTAAGGTGCTTACTAGAAGGTTGACTGGGTTCATGCTGCAACATTCAACACATTCCACAAAGGTGTATCTTATCTTCCAAAAATACAAGTTTCGAATGTGGGTTAGCGGGCAGCAATGTGTCTCAGTGCAAAAGCTGTATATCTGGGGGATGTTTATATAAGAAGTCAACAACAGTTCTTATTGCTAGGCAGCTTTGTGTTGTTGTCTGCAAAATACAGGAAAGTCAACACAGGGACTACAACTGATCTTCATAATTTTCCGTCCCGAATTTATTTAAACCTGAGAAGCTGCATCAGAGTCTTTTATGAGTTGTTGTCTAAAGACGGGCTCCTCAGTTACTACAAGGACACGGAGGTGTGCTGTATATGGGAGTGAGCCTGAGAGTAAGTGACTTACTCTTGGAGTGCACAGTCTGTTCAGATGTAAAACACATGTTGGTATATGTTAGCTTAACATACTTTTTTTTTCCATTTCAGACTATGCTTTCCCTTACATCATCATAGTCTTATCTCTTCTCACCCTGGTTGTATATCTGTCAGCTTCGGAAGTAGAAGTAAGTAAAACATGGTTTCTCTTAAAGATATATTCACCTCTTTTTAAAAAGGAGGTTCAAAGTGAGGTCCCTGACGGACAATGGGGGACAAACAAAGGGTTCATCAAGAGGTAGTCAAATATCCTGAAGTTGTCCCAAAGAGAAATTATATTTTTCTCCTAAGCATCCTATCCTACAGTTTTGCCTTCAGAATTACAGTACTTAGAAATCTGGGTAGGATCAAGCCAGCTAGCCTAATATGATCTATATCGTCACTAGAGAAATCTTCACTAGGTTCAAACATGCTTTCCATTCTACAAGAGGAATTATTCTTCGTCAGGTATTGTGCTAACGGTGTTTGTTTTTCGAAGCTCTTAGTCACTTTGACTAGACAAAGACATTTAGTACTAGCACTGAAAACAGTGATGTTCTCTCTCTGGAAGACGGCATTGTCTCTTATGAGTTAACCTAAGTTTTAATTTTTTTTTTTGGGGGGGGGGGGAGGCTGCCTTCTAGCCTCAACCGCTTGCACAGGTATGCCTGGTAAGAATACAAGGGAAAGGGTCTGCTTGTTAGCATGAGAGTCTTTTCAAGAGGAGGCTTGGCTGGTCTCCTTCCTATTGCCCTTCCATCGGCAGGCAAAACCCTGTTCGTTCCAACAGTTTTGACAAATGACTGGCACTGGAGAAAGCAACATTTTTAGAGAGAGGCTGTTGTGCCCATTTATTTTGGATACTTCTAAATGGTTTTAAATTCAGTGGCTTAATACCCATTTCACTGTGTTTAAATTACACACAGGGTTTGTTTTCTATTATTATCTGTTTTAATAATTTGGGCCTTCTTGCGTCTCGGTACTGGGAGGATGGGTATAAATTAACTAAATGAAAGAATAGCTGTTGTTACTGCTGGAGTTGGGGTGGAACTGTTTCTCCTCCTGGTAGGATAAAAAGCTGGGAGCCAGCCATTCTGTAGTATCTTTTCTGCACTTTCCAAATACAGTGGTGCCCCGCATAGCAACGATAATCCGTGCAGTAAAAGTCACTGCAAAGAGATTTCGTTGCTATGTGGATTTAAAAAGCCCATAGGAATGCATTAAACCCATTTAATGCGTTCCTATGGGCAAAAAACTCACTTTTAAACGAAAATCCTCCATACGGCGGCCATTTTTGCTGCCCAGTAAGCGAGGAATCTGGGCAAAAACACAGCAGGCGGCCATTTTTTTTACCTGGCAGCCATTTTGGAACTGCCAATCAGCTGTTGGGAAATCATCGCTATGCGATGATCGGTATGTGAAACAGCGTAACGATCATCGCAAAGCGATTTTTAACCATTTAAAACATCGCAATGCAATCGCAAAAACCAATCGCAAAAAATTGTCGCTATGCGGATTCATCGTTAAACGGGGCGTCCGTTAAGCGAGGCACCACTGTATTCTAAAGAGTAAAGGTTCAGGGACCCTTCTCACAGAATTTGAAATTACTAAATAAACACATAATGGAAGCAGTGTCTAAGCAAGCATATCTCAAGTGTTTTTCACCATGAAGACACGGGGAGTAGGAAAGGATGCTTTAAAATACCCAAGAGTTAATTCTCCCTGTTTGCAGACATTTAAGGTCTCATACTTGTAAAAACTAATGGTAATATCCTGTTCTGTTTTTTTTTTTTAAACAAGACTTTCAAAGATCTGCTCGTCAGGAAGAAAAGGCTTATTGTTCTGTTTAGTCACTGGCTGCTGCATGCCTACGGAATAATCTCTATTTGTAAGCTGAACAACGTTTACCAGGATTTACCTCTGCTGGCTCTAGTCCCCGCACCTGCCCTCTTTTACTTGCTGACGGCTAAGTACACCGAACCGTCCCGGATACTCTCAGAGGGAGGGAATGGACGTTAGCCATGGCACAGCAGTCGCTCTGCAAGCAGCAGGTACACCCATGTGTAGAATGCTTTACATCTGCCCTCCTGTTGTGACAGGAAGTTGTTTCTTTAAGGACTATGTTTATGTTCTTCTCCTTCCCCTTAAATCTTCGCTTCGACACTGGCTACGAGGCAGATTCTGGCCCACGGAATAGTAATGGACACCTGCTACATGAAATGGCCTAGGACTGTTTTATCAGCTGTGGGAGCCCAAAGGCACCATCGACTTTACGGTGAAGGATTAAGGCCTGCTCTTTGGGTGTATGCCCATCTGTTCGTGATGAATGAACATGAAACATTTTGTACAGCGTTCTCAAACGTAACGGAATTTATTTATTTTAAATTGCAGTATTTTATCACATGTGTAAGGATGTGTAGTAGAATAAAGCTCAAGTATTCTAACTTCCTTTCATCTTCCCTGCAGTCTTTTCATTCCTAAAGAAAAAACACAGGAGAATAACGTAGGTTTCTCAGAAACACATAATGGCTGAAACCCTGTTGGTTCAGCTCGTTACCTTCAAGGCCTGCAGCCTTTTGTCGCTGATTAAAAGTTTCCAACCTGTGCTCAAGGTTCAGGGTTTCCCTACGGGTGCCTTTTGTCCAAGGGAAGCTTTTCGGGAGGCCATAGGAGGAGAGTCTTTAATGTCTGAAAATCAGTGCCCCCAATCCTGCGAAAGCATCTCTGTACCTTAGCAGGATGAAAAAGCTCCTTCAGGAGTGGTGGAGACTGGGTCTGAAACGTTTAATTAGCAATAAAATGCAGCTGATGTCAACAGGATTTCAGTCAGTCTCTTCCCATCATGTCAAACATTCTTGAGTGAACTAGGGCCCTTCAGCCACCCACCGGTCTGGAGATGCCGACAAGACATTCCTCCTTTCCCCATAATATTATATCTATTTCATCAAATAGATGTTTAAGCAGCAATATACTTATTATGAACAAATAAGCAAGCACCTGTCATAAGGGACTGCATAAATTCTGCATTTTAAAAAATCATCTCACATTGAGTTGTATATGTAATAGTTAAGGTTTTTTTAGATTTTTTTTATGTAATTTGATTTTTGTTGCAATTGGTAATTTTTGTGTTTACTTTAATAAAAATAAATAAATAAATAAAAATCTTTCTTAAGCAGACTTAATTTCTCCACAACTAAGCGAATTACGTCCTTGTCACATTTCATTTGTATTCATAAGTGCACAGCTTAGATGCAAACAGTTGTCTAACAGAGTGGTCAGGAAGCTTTGAGGCTCCTTGCCAGCTGTAAATGGACATTTGCGAAGAGGCTCTGATCAGGTGACATTATCCCACAGTACCCCCTTGTCACCTTCTCTCTGCCTGGGTTCGTTTGAATCATCAGTTAACCCTGATGCTGCTGTTCCCCGAGGGAAAATTCGTCTAAAATATTTTCTATCCGAGCATCTTGGATTCCACTCCCATTTGAGAAATACACATGAAAATAGCAGCTTGCTCAAGTTTTAGATTTTTCTAAAGTTTGCTTTATCCTATTTATCCCGAATCTCCTTTCCTTCCCTCCTTGTTACCACATATGATGTTTATAATTTTATATAGTAGTCGACCAGCAGAGTATTTTGTTTTCAGGACGTGAGGGGGAAAACGAGATTACTTTGGGCAGAAGTGAATGAAAGCTCGGCTGGCTGTTATCTCCTCTTTTCACATCTCAAAGCCAGTGAGTTTTTTCTGCACCTCCTTGGCCATGGAATAAATACAGAACAGTGAGACTGAGTAGGGGATGCTGTTTCCCATACATGATCAATATATATAGGAAGATTTCCATGAAAGCATTTCTCTAACTTAGTATTAAAGATAATGTATGAGATCCGCAATTCTTATATAAAAATAAACTTGTGTGTGTGTGTCTGTACTTACAGATCTACATATATAATTTGTGCTTACAGTGTGTCTTATTTCCCTTTCTCGGTGTGGATCAGAGAGTAGGAAGAAGCATAATGGTCCTTATCCTGTAAGTCCTGCCAGAAAAAACTTAGTTGCCTCTCTAGCATTAGTACAGTTCTGGAACTTCTGTTGGCCACCTCTATATGATTATGCTATAGCTTCTGAGATAATTTCAAAGTGAGGTTTTTGCTGTTTTAATTGCCTTTTTTTGTAGACTTTAAACAACAACCCCCACCAAGATTTAGCCACTGCACAGTTTACAATAAAAGGAACCTTACTTTGTCACAGCTCTGCGTGGATTTGCTTTTCAACAAAGAATCCATTTCCTCATAGTTCAGCTGTAACCCATCATGGACATAGTCAGCCTTGTTGTTTATTTTTGTGCTTCGTCTGATATGTTCTTCCAGAAGATTCATGACGTCATGTTGATGCTTCAGGAACATCTGCAGTAGAATGGAAAGAGAGGGCTCAGCTTCTAGGCCAAAAATGGAAGTCAACTCCTGCCAGAGGGCCATTTGAATGGCTTGCGCTATCATATAGGATGGTAGTCCAGGCTTTGTTTGGGATAAAGAAGGCATGCACAGTGCATCCTGCTCTTATATGGTAACTGCTGAGACGGGGGAAACCTGCATCTGGAAGGATACATTCTCCTCTTTATGTTACCGGTATTTCATTCAGTTTCATCACTGAGGAAGGCTGCTATTGAGAACAGAAGCCCACCGACACAGGAGATGTTCCTGAAGTTCTGAGGGCTCCTCCCAAAGGCCTTTGTACCAGTTCTGCAACATACCTTTTGAAGGTGTTCATCCCTGATCCATTTCTTGATGAAAAGATCTAAAAAAAGAGAGAGAGACATGTTATCCTATTTTCATATATGCCAATATTACTTGGAACTTTAAAATGATCTAAACTGAAATTATTTTAAGACTGACTGTGTTCTACATTTTATGTTCTCTGAAGGCAGCGCACATTTGGATACATCGCAAAAACAAATAACACACTTCCATCAGAAATAGTATATAACTGGAATCTGTGAATCTCCCCATACAGCCCCGTATGGTGGCTGAGATCCAGCAGTGTAACTTGTACCACATAAAGACTGGTTTTTAAAACATTAAAAAATTCTGACAAACCCCCCCTCCCCGATTCTGAGCCTCCCTCAGAATCCATGGGGAAGCCCTTGGGGACCATAGGATGGGAGGGAGTTTTTAATTGCTGAAAATGGCATGGGAGGCTGCTGGATTTTAGCCATTATTGCACAGTTACAAGAAAGCAGGATTCTATAAGAGCGCAAGCTAGTTATGGATGGAAGGGAGGCACAAGCCAATAAATTTAGGGAAAGGCAAGTTCAAACAGGGGCTGTTCTTAGTGTGTAGTGTCTGCAGGGCCAACATAGCCCCGTTCGTTCGTTTAGTCGTTTAGTCGTGCCCGGCTCTTCGTGACCCCATGGACCAGAGCACACCAGGCCCTTCTATCTTCCACTGCCTCCCAGAGTTTGGTCAAATGCATGCTGGTTGCCTCGATGACACTGTCCAACCAAACATTTAGCCCCAGCTGTCCAATAATGTCCTTCACTTTCCCCATGTAAGTGGTTCAACTGCTTTCACTCATTTATTCGGGGAAATACAACTATTCCTCTGGCTGTGCTGCTGTGCGGAATGCAACATCTGCCTGACTTTGAAACTGGGTGGTCACTGAGAAGGCTCCCATGTTGAAGTAGAAGGAAATGTAACCCTGTATACAAAGCATATCATTTGACAGGCATTTTGCTGAGCTGTATTTATTTTAAGTACTTCAGATTTGCTTTTCCTCACATAAGACTCAAGGGATTTATACACAATGTAAATAAAACAATGTTAAATGTTAATACAGCACAATGAACCTAACAAATGCCACAAGCATAATTAATGCGAGCCATAGAAATTCGATTATGCTTTCAATTACCAAGGTGGACTTAAAAGGTAAGTAGATTAAACTCTTGGGTGAAAAGGTATCGCTTAACCTGACACCAAAAAGACTGTAAATTATGTGCAAGCCACACCTCTCTAAGGAATGACATTCGAAATTCAAAGCACCACCAATAATGACTACCTTGTACATAACAGTGTATTTCAATCCAATGAGTTGACCAAGAAATCTTTTTGTTCTTGGTTTAGATTTTAGCATTCACACAAGTACGAGTGCACACACATATTTATTGCTTCATAGCTGTCTCATGAGAGGAGATTCTTTTTCTCTTGATCCAGCCCAGACATAAGGGCCCCAGGCTCTCAAAAATGTGATACGTGCAATCTGAGAGTGCAGTCTGACCAGCATTCTTAGGCACATCCTGTGTGTATTCTGGATTGGCATCATATGGGGAATCACAGTGAAGACCATTTTGAGAGCTGAGTGTAAATGGATCAGGGCAGAAAGCAGACATAAAGCTACCTGCTCAAAAGCTCTGCCAGCAGAAGCATCTGCTCTACATTGCTCTGCCTGCATTGTTGAATAGGTCTTCGTTTCTTTTCAATAAGGGTAGGTAGTAGGGTTCCCCCACCCCTGCCACTCCAGCTATCGGCTCCATACTCTCTAACTCACCATAAAGGGCTTTCCTATCTTTATGAATTTGTTGTCTCTCTGACTGATAGACTTTCGCCTCGTATTCAATTGTGGAAACATCTTCTTTGAGAAAGGCAATGCCCTGTTAAGGGGAAAAACAGATTGTTTCATGTCACTATCTGACACATCAGAAATGTGTAGCCTGCCAAATTCAGATTGTAAACTGCCCAGAGTGTGCTTTGAGCGCTGTGGGGTGGTATATAAGCAGCACACTTTAGATCATTATTAATACTTTAAGAAGAGCCTTTAACCTCCTTAGGTAAAGGTTCCCCTTGACAATATTTGTCCAGTCGTGTTCGACTCTAGAGGGCGGTGCTTATCCCCGTTTCTAAGCCATAGAGCCAGCGTTTGTCCGAAGACAATCTTCCGTGGTCACATGGCCAGTGCGACTTAGACACAGAACGCTGTTACCTTCCCACTGAGGTGGTCCCTATTTATCTCCTTGCATTTGCATGCTTTCGAACCGCTAGGTTGGCGGGAGCTGGGCCAAGCGACGGGTGCTCAGTCCGTCGCGTGGATTTGATCTTATGACTGTTTGGTCTTCTGACCCTGCAGCACAGGCTTCTGCGGTTTAGCCCGCAGCGCCACCACGTCCCTGTAGGGATGCACAAAGATTTTTTTAAAAAAACAAGGTAGCCTTTTTGTGCAAGCTCAAAACCTAACATGCAGGATACACAAGAAAAAAGCAAGGAAGAGTGTAAAAAAAAAAAGCAAATCCGGGTGCCTCATAAACCTACAGATGTGTTCCTCTTGTGCTCCACTGGAATGGCTACTCAGTCCATGTTTTTCTGCTCCGGGCAATCTCATTTTCCAGGTGACAACAAATTCCTCTCTGAATCAATGAACAATCCCAATTCTCTTTTCATCCCACAAGATACTTGCATTCATTTTTCTCTCTTGTTCATCATGCAAAATGACCCTCTCTCTGGACATAATCCCACACTGCGCTCTCAGTTTATCTGTTATTTCCATCAGGACAACTCTGATGTGGCCCTAATCCCCATTTGCTCAGCTTCTCGCCCATTCCTCTATTTTTAAACTCTTGCTTCATTCCCTTCTTTCAACGACAGTGAGAGAAAGTGAAGCGGCGCCAGGTGATAATCCATAGCCTCTCTGTCAGACACCTTCCCTTCGCCAACACTCTTAGAATGAATGGCACTGGGTTGCTCCTGGGCAAAGCAGAATCCTGCCCAATGAGTGCAAGATTCATCACTAGCAGCCCACGGAGAGACTGTAATATCGAATTAGGCTTGCTGGCACGTAAAAAGAGCAAGAGCTTTCTGCAGTTCCCAGGATCTGGTGAAACCACACATCACTGTGCCAAGTGCAATTCCTAACTTGCTGGCTTCACACAGAATACGGTAGTTAAATTCAGTAACATTTAAAGGCTGCAATAAAGAACAAAACAAATCTTCTAAAGCTTCTCCATGGCCTCTTTGCTGCCACCTTGTAACTTTAGTTCCTAAAGACGTGGTGTGAACATTACAGCCTACACACACCAAAAATACTCACTGCTCTTAATCTGGCGTTTTCTGCATTCAAAACATAGAGCTTTCTGTTCACCTCGTAGTTGTCTCTCTCTAAAAACTTCAAAGAGTGACCAAACCTTTGCAGCTGGTCAAATGCCAACTCCCTGTTCTTCTTGAGTTCATTCTTGGCATTCGTCTGTCAGGAAATATGCATTATTTATTTATCAAGTACTTTCTATCCAAAAGACATGATATAAAAGGAAACAGGGGTATGGAGGAAACAAAGATAGATACTATTCTTTTCATAGACTTTACATAATGCATCACAAACAGAACTGACCAATGTGGAACCGATAAAAAAATGGGTGGCTACTTGATTTATTTATTTTTAATACTGATGCCACCTTCCAAGAAAAGCTGATTTAACCAAAAAAAGGGGGGAAATTCACAAAGTACTACACCCATAACAACTGAAGGACACAGTAAAATGCCAAGCTATCCACAAAATGCCAGCTGGAAAATAAAAATAGTAATAGGAAATAATATTTTTTTTGCAAAAGAATGGAAAAAAAATCTAATTCGTCAAAAGAAAAGAAAAGCCTCAATAGATGACAGAAGGAACATTGCTTATTACAGACAACAAGAAAAAGGAATAGACTAGAACCCTAAATGCAACTTTTCAACAACTACTATATAAAAACAAAGAAAACTATTACATTAATGAGGGCAATGAAATAGAACAATAATCAGACTTCGCTTCCAGAAGATCCAAGACGTCAAAAGGACAATTTAAATCTAGATTAGGCATCCTGAAAGACCAGCAAGGAAACATACTATTTGACCATGAGAAAATAAAAAGAATGTGGAAACAACACATTGAATAAGTACTAAGAAAAGATACAATGACAAATTCCTTTGAATAGGAATCCTGTAATGAAGAACCTGCAGTTTTAGAAGACAAAATTAAAGCTGCTCTCAAAAAATCTTGGAAGAAATATTTTTATTTATTTATTTATTTGATTTGTTTCCCGCCCATCTCTGAGTACTCTATACCTAGACAGCCTTGGAAAGAGACACCGTAAGTCAAAATCAACTTGTTGGCATGTTGTCCTTATTATGAATTAGAGATGGGCACAAACCACACAGGGGCGGCAACTTACATGTAATAGAAAACAAAAACAAAAACATTAAAAACATCAACAATAACCCTAAAAGACCAGATGGCACTGACTAATCCCCAAAGCAGACAGAAGAAAAGAGGGGAGGGAATATGAAAATAGGAAGAGGTCAATTAAGAAATAATGATTTCTGGAAAATATGGAGTGTATCCCTGGAATATGTATTTCCGAGAGGGAAGGGGTATACACCGAGGGAAGAAACAATGAATTTTTGGAGGGAAAATGGATTAAATGAAGTTTAATGCTATCCTGAAGGTGATGGTAGCACTATGTGATATATAATTGTATTTTTATTGTGTGTGCTTTTTTCTGTGTGGTAGCAGGTTTATATTTTGTAATTTAATAAAAATTATTTAAAAAAAGAAAAGAGGGGAGGGAAGAGGAGGAGGGAAAAGAAAAAAGGGGGGAAGATGGTCAGCTGGGGTCGGTGTGGAAAGCCTCCCGGAAAAGCAATGTCTTTAATTGCTTCCTAAATGTCAACAGGGAGGGGGCTAGGTGGAGTTGGGATGGGATACTATTTAGAACCATGTCAAACTACAGATACTGAATCTGCCCAGGTCCTAACAAGAATATGCCAACAAATGTGGGAAACAAAACAATGCCCTACATATTGGAAACATTCAGTATAAATTTCCAATAGACAGAGGTTTCAGACAAAGGTATATTTTGTTTTGGTATCTGTTCAGTTTGAGAACATACACAGAAAGCTGGATTAGATTCAGATGAATGAAACCTGATGGAAGGAACATCAAGAATTAAAAATACACAGTTGACACAATATTACTGGCAGACAGCAGGAATAACTTGAGACAATATCTGATGAAGATGAAAGAAGAAACTGTACTAGCGCAACTGCAATTAACCATTAAGAGGACAAAGAATCATCACTACAGAAGAACCATGTAACTTTAATGTCAACAACGAAGAAACTGAAATTGTTAATGGTTTTGTATACCGCTGCTCATGGCGCAGTGGTTAAACTGCTATACTCCAGCCAAAATTGCTTACGACCCGGGGTTGAATCTCAGGGAGCTGGCTGAAGGTTGACTCAGCCTTCTATCCTTCCAAGGTTGGTAAAATGATTCCCCAGGTAACTGGGATGGGGCAGAGGGAAATGTGTAGCCTACATACAGTAATTAACTTGTAAACTGCCCAGAGAGTGCTTTAAGTGCTATAAGCAGGATGCTTTGCTTTTTTGCTTTTGCTGAACCACCAAATCAAATGGAGGTTACAGTCAAGAAATCAAAGGAAGACTGAGATGTATGGGAACAGCTATAAAAGAGACCTTCCATATTCTTGTATTCCTGGTTACCATCTACAGATGTGAAAACTGGACAGTGAAGGCAAGAAGAACAAAGATTTGTTCTAAATACGGTACTGCAGGAGAGCTTGGTGGACATCCCTGGATCACCAGAAAGGCTAACAAACACATCTTGGTTAAATCAAGCCTGAATTCTCTTCAGAGGCAACAATTATGAAATAGGCTGTCGTACTTCAGGAACATTATGAGAAGACAAGACTTGCGGGGGGTGGGGTTAGGAAAAGTTGAAGGCAGCAGGAAAAGAGGAAGACCAAACATGAAATGGATTGACTCCACAAAGGAAGCCACAGTCTTGAATCTGTACGGACATTTTAGAAGTCACTTCTTATAGAGATGGGCATGAGCCCCAATTCGGTGGGTCAGCCGGGTTCGGTGCAGTGTCAGCCCAGGTGCTCCACAGGTGCCAAGCACTTCTTCTTCCACCTCCACTGTACGCTCACCCATTCCCCGGCTGAAGCATGCTTTCCTCTCCCATCTCCTCAACATGACTGGAGGGGAGCGCGTTTTGGCTGGGGAACAGGTGAGCACGCAAAAGAGGCTGGAGCAAGGAGTGCCCCTGTGTGGTTTGTGCCCATCTCTAATTCATAATAAGGACAACATGCCAACAAGTTGATTTTGACTTATGGTGTCTCTTTCCAAGGCTGTCTAGGTATAGAGTACTCAGATATGGTTGACTATTCCTTTCTTCTGGGGCTGCTCTGGGACCATACAGTTTGCCCAAGGCTATACAGGTCAACTCTTTTCCTGGGACGCAAAGGGAGGAATCGCACTCCCAGCCTCCAGCTCCACAGCCAGATGACCTGACTCATGGCACTATGAATGAGATAACTCATTCACAGGATCATCAGAGGCAACATGATGGCAGGTAACAACAAGAACCACCTTTAATATCATGGCTGCTTTGGATTTATTCTTGGAAAATCTGGGGGAAAGAGTTGGCAGGAACTGCAGTGTCAAAGAAGGGATTACCTTCTGCCTATTGAGCTTGCTGATCTCCTTTAATGACCGGTCAATGGATTTTTTCAGCATGCGTTCTTCTTCTAGTAATTCTTTAAACAAAGGGAAAAAAAGAGAAAGCCTCTTTAAGTATCCAGCTCCTTGTTCTAACTAAGCTAACACAAACCAGGAGAAATGGAATTATCAGAAGAAGCCATCAAGCCAACGGGATCCTATTTGTATTCGCAAAGGCTTTCATGGCCGGGATCTAATGGTTGTTGTGGGTTTTTCTCCAGTCTCTGTGGCCGGCATATTCAGAGGACAGGAGGCAGAACTTCTGGTGCTACTCCTGTCCTCTGCAGAGGCCGGCCACAGAGACTGGCGAAACGTCAGGAAGAACAACCTTCAGAACACGGCCAAAGAGCCCGAAAAACCCACAACAACCATGGGATCCTATTTATTTTATTGACTTATTTTATTAACAGGTATATGCTGTTCAGGGACCGTTCTACCATTAGGCACAATGAAGCAACTGCCGCAAATAGTGGAATGCAGGATATGGTGGATGTGCTGCTTCCTCACAGCCACTCCTGTGCTTCTGCTGCCTGTCTTCGTGAATGGCTAGTTCTGAGGGTTCTTGGAGGAAAGGCACAAAGGAAGGCCAGACCTGAAAAACTGCCCGTGGCACAGGGAATTTCCTTGGACACCTCTCCCGTCAGAGCAAAGCATTCCCCAGGACAGAGAATAAGAGTCCAGCAGGCAGCTGCCACTTCCTCTCCTTCTACAAGTACCTGCTGTGTCTAAGCTGGAACTGCCAATTTCACATCCTTCCTCCATCAATGAGCAATGGTAAGGGGGAATAAGTGGAGGTGTCACCCAGTCCTGTTGCCTCACCTGCTTGAGGTAACATGGGACGGGAGCTGCACTGGCATATGGCACATCTAGGGACGGGACATCCTGGCAGAAGAAGATTTCCCCAGGCTATGGCAGCATCTTCACCAACCCACATCCAAAAATCCTAGAGAGGGTCAAAGGTTCTAGGTTCCTAACCAAAGCAACTACTAGGCAACACTGTTTAGCTTTCAATAAAATAGCTTTGACAGAGCACATCTTGGGAATTAAGAGAGATCATGTAGGACTAGGACCTGGACCCTGTAAACACCTGAAGGCACAGCTTTGATTGCAACAGCTCCATTTAAAAGCTGGAGGGGAGGACATTTGTGTTGAAAACCTGACTTGCTGCTGGAACATATCAACCACAATTTGTGTGTCAGAAACATATGATATATTTATTTATTAGATTTATATACTGGCCATCTGGAACAGGTCTACTCTGGGCGGTTTACATATAATATAAAAAAATAAACTAAGATAAAATCCAGATGAATCCAAGTTGGGAAAGGAAAAAGAAAAGGGGGGGAAAGAAGAGGAAGAAGAAGGAGAGAAAAGAAAAAGAAGAAAAGGGGAGATAGGCTAGGTAACGGCTATAGGGAAGGCCTACCTGTATAGCCATGCCTTCAAGTTAGTCTTAAAGGCCGTCAGCAAGGGAGCCACGCGGATCTCAGCAGGTAAGTTGTTCCAAAGCCAAAGGGCCACTGCCGAGAAGGCCCGATTTCTAGTTTTTTCCCACCGAGCCTCTCTTGGAGTTAGGTCCCTCAGCTGCCCAGCCTGACTGGAATGGGTGATATGGGTAGAACTGGGTGGAAGAAGGCACTCTGCCAGGTATCAAGGTCCTAAACCGTTAAGGGCTTTATATGTAATGGTTAACACTTTGAAATCAATCCAGAAGCGAATAGGTAGCGAGTGTAATGCGGCCAGAGTGGCCTGGCCGCCGGGTTCTGGACCATGTGAAGCTTCTGCATCAGTCTCAGTGGAAGTCCAACATAGAGAGTGTTACAGCAGTCTATTGTTGAGACTACGAGCACATGGACCAAAGTGGTGAGCACCCCCGTGTCTAGATAGGGACGCAGCTGAGGATGTAAATGGGCAGATCGAACCACGGACGCTACCTGGGTCTCCATGGTAAGCACCAGGTCAAGGTGGACCCCCAGACTGTGAACTGAATTCTTTTTGGAGAGAGGCTCCCCCCAAGAGAGAGGGAGTTCCCCAAACTACTGACATTTTGTCCAAAGACAATCTTCCGTGGTCACATGGCCAGTGCGACTTAGACACGGAACGCTGTTACCTTCCCACCGAGGTGGTCCCTATTTATCTACTTGCATTTGCATGCTTTCGAACCGCTAGGTTGGCGGGAGCTGGAACAAGTGATGGGCCCTCACTCCATCACGTGGATTCGATCTTACGACTGCTTTGTCTTCTGACCCTGCAGCACAGGCTTCTGCGATTTAGCCCGCAGCGCCACCACATCACTATTTCCTATACAGTAGAGAACCTTATTTAGTAATTCATTGATCTTTCTGGAAGCAGGTTTTGGAGTATGTGTATTGGGACCTGTTTAGTATTCACCACCATCATTCACATACAAGTAAAATAGGTGCAAGAATTTTGTCTTTTATCCTCTAGACACAGGGAAAGATGAGAGAGCTTATTCCAAGATTAGCATTTTACTAGGAGCACACTGTAGTCATAAAGGCCTTTATGACACGACAGTCTTTTATCATATAGAGCAGGTTCTACTGCACCTTGACCCTTGTGATCAAGGGAAAAGGACAAATCCATGAAGTCAGCACAAAATTTCCCCATCAAAGGACCAGAGTATTTTTCAGGCAGGTAATAAGGCACCACACATTGTAGGCGTCCTTCAGTCTTGAGAGACTATGATAACATACTCTGAATAGAGGTCTTGGAACAGCGTCTAGTTGGGCTGAGAAGGCCAGTTTGAGAGTGACAATCCCTTCCACACTGAAGATAAATATTTGTTTGTTTGTTTGTTTATACTCCACCCATATAGCCCAAAGTCTACTCTGGGCAGCTAATACAATCTGTCCCCTGTCCAGCTCCCTGATTTTTGCCTCTTTTCCTTGGCCTGCTGGACAAGTACCTCTTCAAATTGGGAGAGGCCATGATGCAACGCCTGCCTCCAGGCTGAATGCTCAGAGGTCAGGGTTTCCTATCTGTTGAGGTCCATTCCTGAGGACCTCAGATCCCACTTGCAGATGTCCTTGTATCGCAGCTGTGGTCTCCCTCTGGGGTGATTTCCCTGCACTCATTCTCCATACAGGAGATCTTCTGGAATCCAACCATCAGCCATTCTCATGACATGCCCGAGCCAACGTAGACATCATTGTTTCAGTAATGTATACATGCTAAAAATTCCAGCTCGTTCTAGGACTACTCTGAGGCACCACACAGTGGTCTATGGTTAAGTGATTTTCTAAGGCTAGCTATGAGTCACAGATTGAATCCTCTGACTTCAGAAAGTGATTCAAGTTGGATCTTAGGAACGTAGCACACTGCCTCCCCATGACAGTTGTTGTCATATGCTATTAAATCATTTTGATCTGATGGTGACTATTGCCATTGCATGCCATAAGTCAATTCCAACCTAGGGTGGCCCTTTCCAGGATTTTCTAGGTAAAGCGTACACTGCAGACTAAAACAACCAGAAAAATCTGCAGTAGCTGAACATGCCCTAAAACAAACTGGACATGAAATTCTATTTCAAAATACTGAAATACTGGACAACCCCAGCAGTCATTACGTCAGACTGCACAGGGAAGCCATTGAAATCCACAAGCACCAGAAAAACTTCAACAAAAAAAGAGGAAAGTTTGAAACTCAACAAAACTGGGCTCCCAACTCTCAAAAATACAGCATGCAAAAGGTCACAAACTCTACCCAACCACAAGGTCAAGGGGATCACTACCATCAACCACAGTGACAGATAATCTCCTTATCACAACAATACACCCACAACAAAACACACTAATCACCCATCCACAGAAAACAATACACACACAACAATACACACTAATCATCCCATCTCACAGCCATAAATACTCCACGCCCTAGCCAAACTACACCAGAGCACAGTTTGCTGTCCTCTGAAGATGCCGGCCACAGAGACTGGTGAAACGTTAGGAAAGACCACCTTCCGAACATGGCCAAGAAGCCCGAAAAACCCACAACAACCATTAGACAAAAACTACTTGGTCTTTAATTTCCAGGATCACTGGCTTGGTCTTTTTTTAAACAATTGAGATCACAGTTATTTTCTGGAATTTCAGAAGGCAGAAAGTAATCGAATTTCCATCCATGTGGACTGGATTTAAAGACTCCAGTAGGAATGTTGTTACTCCCAGGTGTATCCTCTTACTTTAACTGCTCACTCAGTGAAAAAACTTTCTTATAATGATTGGTATAACCTAAAATATAGAATCATCAATTTAAATTTCTTAAAGCTCAGAAAATGGATCTGATATTTTTTTCTCTATTTGAGCTGGGATACAACAATTTGTTATTCTAAATCAGCTGAAGACAGAGGAAGGAGTTGGGAGAAGATGGAAATATATGAGAACAAGAGACTTTCCCCACTTCATTACAACTTTGCGATGCCATGGAATGATGTCCCAGGTGGGGGAAGTAACTGTCACCCATGGAAATTATCTGTGGTGTACCTGCACACAACTCATTTTGGTTATTATATGAGGTGGTTGTTTCCTCTAATTCTATCTTCAGTTCCTGCGATAGTGGGAGATTAACTTTCAATTCTTCTTCCTTTTCTTGTAGAAGTATTTTGGTAGCATTATATTCTTCCTGTAGAGAAATGAAAATGACACATGTGATTTATGAAGCAAGAGACAATGGGCTTCCTAGCAATCTGCTGCAGTGGCAAAACATGCTTTTTGAACAGTTTTTTAGTACATAATGTGTCTGGGACTCTCAAATATATGATCAACTGTTGGGGTTGCAGACCCATATGAGCTACAGGGTCAAGTGCAGAAAACAACAGATGTCTCGATTTATGATTTCTCTCACCCCCCTCCTCCCACAACACATGGACATACATTACCAATTTTGGTAGCTGAGGGGATGAGAGGTAAAAGCATCTTAAAAATACCCTCATCAAGCCACCTCTTCACATCTTTAAGTACCATCCCCCAATGGTTTCCCCTCCCATTTTAACTCGTTCATTCATTCATTCATTCATTCATTCATTCATTCATTCATTCCCAGCCTTTCCCCTTAAAAGGACCCAAGGCAGCTTACATCATTAAAAATCAGTATTTAAAAGCTAAAAACAGTAAGTATACAAATATTAAAATAGAATTAAACATGTTTTATATTAAAATGGAAAATAAAATCATATTGTTGTGATCTCTATGTGTCTATCATTCTTCCAAGTCCTCTGTTCCTACTTTCCCCTCTATCGAATTCGCCCCATTTGAAGGCTGCGTAATCATGCCTTATCTTCTGTTTCCTGAACCAAGAACGGTGAAGCCTAAACCTCGTAGCTTCCAACTTCAGCAAACCCTTACTGTACCATTGACTTTGCCGAGTGCGACTCATAGGAGTTGTGGGCCAAAACAACTGGGGGGCCAAAGGCTCCTCACCCCTGTTCTAACTTCTGGTCTGAGTTTTCTTTAAAAGACTTACCTCAAGCTTCTTGATTTCTGCCAACAAGCTAGCATCACGTTTCTTATATTGAGCTTCTTTTTTATGCAGTTTGTCAAGGAGGGCCTTAAGGATTTCTTCAGATGCTTTTATTTCTTTCTTGAGCTGTTCATTCTACTCACAGAAAATATTAAACAGAAACAGAGCCATGGCTTTAAATATGTTATCTTCTTCCCTCATGTAGTAGAATGTGGGGTGTTTGTGTGTCTTATTGCAAGAACAAAAGAAACACAGAGATGTCTGACCCCACTGCTACGGCATTGAGAAAGACCGCAACTGTAAAGGAAAGCTATACCTTTCACATCTGAATACTGCTTAGGCTGTGGAGGAAAATTACATCTTCCACTGCCACCATGGAGAAGAGCTATGTGTAATCACATAGATCAAACCCCTTCATTCCTAGTCTGTCCCTAGCATTTACAAGTCATTGGATGTCATTAGAGATGAAACATTTTGGATCCCCACCTTGCCCCAGCAGAAAGAGAGACAGCAAAGCATGGCTCGCACTGTCAGCTCAGCAGTTCCCTCCCTGAATTATTCTCATTCAAGTAGCTCATGAGAAGAGCTGTGTCATTTTAAGAAAGGGACCAGTGAGAGAGTCTACAAGGGTAGATAACGCAGAATCTTCTGAAGGTATGGAATGAGAAGATTTGTTGAAAACCCTACCTGGATTCTGTAAAAACAACTATGTATCAATTTAATTTGGTTTCCATCATCTAGTCTGTGTTTTACCTGTGCTGTTAATTCACTAAGCCGCTTTTTATAAGCATCACTCTTTTGCTTTGAAGTCTCCAGTAACTCATTGTGATCTGCAATCATTTTCTGATATTGTGCTGTAATGTTAGCAAGCTGATCCTGAAGCATTTCCCTAATGATTTTGGAGGGAAGCACATATAGTTCATCATGGAATGCAAAGTGCTAAACCAAACAGGAAAAAAAACAGACAGCATGTAACCTTGTTTCAGCTTGCTCTCTTCACAGAAATAGCATAACATATCTCTTGATGGTGATAATAATTCAGTTCCTCCAAAACCCTCCTGTTTTTGAATGTGGGATATTGTGCTTCTGTATCCTTTATTAAAAATGCCATGAAATGGCACAATATTGCTGCACAACCTTGTGCCCCCGTTGCCAGCAGGAAAAAAGGATGCCAAGCTTTACAGAGCAAAGAGAAGTCTGAACGTTGACAACACCTATGGCAGCAGCCCAGATGGTCTACAGCAGGGGTCCCCAACCCCTGGTCTGTGACCTGGCAGCGGTCCATGGCCTAGGACCGCGCAGCGGACACAGATCTCCTGCCACCCCACCAGGACCCCTCCATGAGTGCTGTCGCATTCATGTGCGTGAACGTGACACCCCCCCCATGAGCGTGACATGCCCCCGCATGCATGTGCAGTGCTGTCGCATTCATGTGCGTGAACGTGTGACATGCCCCCGCATGCATGTGTGTGAGCACAACACACACCCCTGTGAGTGTGACACAGAGCCTTGCACATGCGCATGTGCACATTCCCGAGCACATGCCCCCCACGAGTGCGACACCCCCCCAAGAGAGCATGCCACGTCCTCCAGACATGCCCCCCACGAGTGCGACACCCCCCCCCAAGAGAGCATGCCATGTCCTCCAACTGGTCCGTGGTTGGGAAAAGATTGGGGACCATTGGTCTCTACAGCATATCGTCTCCTACTCAGTACATTCACACTTGTCAAAAACAGTCATGTCAGTTGTCTTTTGTTTGGATACGAAGTGGTTGACTGATGAAAAAAGGGATCAGTTTTTGGGATTTTCTCTTGCTTGATGTCTCAATATGGATTATAGTCATGTTCTTCCCTTTTGAAAGGCCTTTTTTGAGGATCAATATTTTAGCCCCTGCAGCCTGGATTATTTGTAAATTTAAAAAGGCAGTGAGGCCAATCATTTTCTTCCAAGATAAGATTTCAATTGATATCTGCTATTTTACATCTGGGGATGCTTGGATCACTTATTTCTGCATGAGAGGTAAAACAGTTTTACTTTTTAAAAAATTCAAAAGATCTTTGCCAACCCTTCTCCAAATTTGGGACAGAGCATGAGCAGGCTGTTTGCTACACCTGTGCCAAATTTGGGGCTGATCTGAAGTCCAGTTTCAAAGCTATATTCTTATGTTTAGGTTGCCCCCATTTTTAGAATTTCAATTAGAAATTCCCCTCATATAGAATTATCCAGTGGTAGAGGATTACAGAAGATGAGCATATGATCTGTACTATGCTACTGCTATGATACTGGGAGAAGAAAAAAGCGGGAACAGCTTGGATGTGGCTGTAGTTCCTCTGTGCTAAAATATTCTGAAAGGCTATTGAACTTCATGAAATGTTGAAACAAAGGTGTGAATAGATACATCACATACGTTGGACTTGCCTTCCATGTGAAGCATCGGTTGAGACTTGAGGTGATCAGAGAGAAATGATGGACAAAAGCTCAAGCTGTATGAAAACAGACACTAGCACCTGCATCAGTGTTTGCATTATTCAGTTATATGGGTTAGGAAATGGTGGTTTGATATCCACAGCTTAACAATTGCAGTTACTTAGCAATACCCAGTGAATTGGTAATACATGTTACATTATGTTATGAGCTCCAGTGATCTCCCTTTAGTCACTTCAGTACAAAATATTTTCAGATAATATTTTACCTTCTGTCATTTTCTTTCTTTAATGTGTCCTCTAAATGTGAAAGTTCTCTTGTGTAGGTATTCTGCGAGACACTGAAACCAGAAGAGTGGTCTTAAATAATCAGATTTTATACATTTTCTTCCTGCTACAAATATCTAGGAAACATTTCTTTATTGGAAGATGGGCAGGATATAAATAAAGTAAATAATAAATACATTCCCACCCTATTACCATCTAACTGTAATTTAGAGTGAAAGACAGGTATGGCAACAGGATTTTATTACTTATGACCACAGGCCACTACAAAGTGTAACAATACAAATGTAGAATCATACTATATTCTGGCAGTAAAATATGTGACTGTATTAACACTTTCGTCATATAAAATTTCAAACCCCTGCAAACATTTGGAAGAAAATGTATTTCAAGAATGGTGGTATGATAGCCTTTTCGTTGCTCCATAAATACAAATTATACTTTTCATTTTTATTCTGAGGTATGGCTGTAAAACCAGTCCTTTGGGTTTTCAGTACGGTTCTACTGGAATTTGGGAAGAGCTTATACCCACCCACTGGCTAATACTTGTATCACTGTGCAGCTATTTGAGACTGCGCAACCCAAAGTTCACCTTGGCTAATTCCCAAAATGCTAAACCTCAGAATCACATCTGAATCAAGCCATCAGACTTTACAGGCCACTATGTTACTTAGTTCTGCCAGTGCGAAGAGAATAATGTGAGCCAGCAGTAGTAGATTGCTACTAATTCAAGAGAGCCTACTCTGATTTCAAGCTGCATGTGATTTGTGTACAATCTGAAATCAGAGTAGGGACTCTTGAATTAACAACAACCTGCCTTTGCTGGTGACATCATTTCCTCTGTGCTGGCAGAGCTAAACAATAATATTTGGGCCACTATATATTCATCTGCAAGTCTTTTTAAAAATTTATTCTTTTACAAGAATATGAAAAGAACAAAACGTAAGAATAATATCTACAGCAGTTCCATCATGTATATAATTATGAACTGCTTAAAAAGGATGCATTTCCATAAACCAATATGAGAGATTGGGAGGGAAACAATATCTCATATAGGAATTTATATAGGGAAACTAAGTTTGTAGACACTCCTTTGAACCCTGTATGTAATATGTATAGTAAGTCTGTCCATTAACGTGGAGACAGTATAATTTTTTTTTCTTACTGTGCTTCTGAGTTTCACAATTTCAGCTACGGTAGGAACATGGCATAAGCAAGTCTGCAGCAAGGTATTTTATTCTATTCTCAAAATGAGACCTACTCAAGTATTTCCTGCAATCTGTCAAGCTCGTCTTCTATAGTTTTTGTCTCCACTAAGCGCTTTGCTAGGTGGTCAAGCTTTTCAGTGAGCATATTGGATAAATGTTCAAATCTAGGAAGGAGGAAAGGAAAATTGTTAAAAATAGGTTACACACTTGATGAAGTAAAATTCATCTATGCATTTATGTATCTATTAAAGAATATTCGAGTCAATATTTTAAAAATCCATGGTCACTTTATAACATATTAAAACATGATGCAATTTAAAAACAACATAGGATACGACTGCACTGGGGGAAAATGCAGGAAATGCTACAGGTTTGGAGTGAGATGAGACTTTTTTCCCATTGACCACATGATGCAAAGGGAAATATGCACCAGCTTAAACTTTCCCCCACCACAAATCCCCAATCCTTTTATCCCATTGCTGGGTTGTTTACTTTTTAAAAAATGGATCTGTTTGCATCAGTTCAGGTACGTGATTGCTTGAACCTATGCAGAAAAGCCACTGTACAAGCACACACTCAGAAAACAGTGAGCAAAGCCCATTAAAAAAAGAACAACACAGAGCTAAGGGCAAGTAAAGCCTCTCTATTTTAGCAATGCTAATGAGAGTAGGAAGCCTTGTTTACAACTTATTTGGTAATTCCCTTTTAACCACACTATGGGCTATAAATACAGCTGCTAGAAAGTTGCAATCAAGGCTTTCTTCTCTGTGTGTGTGTGATAAGTTTATGAGGAGGGAACTGGAGAAATCTGAATTACCCAGTATGACTTCACAGTGAATGAATGAGTGAATTTACAGTTCCCTTGCGGTGCAGTTGCACCCCAAGTAAGCCATGCAATTCTAGTGATAGGAAACACTTTTTGCACCATGATTCCCAGAATCCCTACAGGTTTGGAGTGAGATGAGACTTTTTCTTTCATTGACCACATGATGGAAAGAGAAATGTGCACCAGTTTAAACTTACCCCCACCACAAATCCCCAATCCTTTTACCCCATTTCTGGGTTTTTTACTTTTTAAAAAATGAATCTGTTTGCATCAGTTCAGGTATGTGATTGCTTGAACCCAAAAAGCCACTGTGCAAGCACACACGCAGAAAACAGTGAGCAAAGCCCATTAAAAAAAGAACAACACAGAGCTAAGGGAAAGTAAAGCCTATTTTAGCAATGCTAATGGGAGCAAGAAGCCTTGTTTACAACTTAGTTGGTAATTCCCTTTTAACCACACTATGGGCTATAAATACAGCTGCTAGAAAGTTGCAATCAAGGCTTTCTTCTCTCTGTGTGTGTGATAAGTTTATGAGGAGGGAACTGGAGAAATCTGAATTACCCAGTATGACTTCACAGTGAATGAATGAGTGAATTTACAGTTCCCTTGCGGTGCAGTTGCACCCCAAGTAAGCCATGCAATTCTAGTGATAGGAAACACTTTTTGCACCATGATTCCCAGAATCCCCTAGCCAACATAGCGAATTCTGGCAGTTGTAACCAAAATATGTAACTTTCCAAGCTCTAATCAATTCCCAGGTCATATTCTCTAAAGTCTCTGTAGATGAAATGGAGACAATACTGTTATATAAAGAGGAAAAGAAAGGTTTTCAGAGACTTGCGTTTCAACCTCTTCAAAATGATACCACTACACACTACTGAGTTCAAATCATATTATTACTACGGTACTATGAATTGTTACCTATTTTAGCAATGCTAATGGGAGCAAGAAGCCTTGTTTACAACTTAGTTGGTAATTCCCTTTTAACCACACTATGGGCTATAAATACAGCTGCTAGAAAGTTGCAATCAAGGCTTTCTTCTCTGTGTGTGTGTGATAAGTTTATGAGGAGGGAACTGGAGAAATCTGAATTACCCAGTATGATTTCACAGTGAATGAATGAATGAATTTATCATTCCTTTGCTGTGTAGTTGCACCCCAAGTAAGCCATGCAATTCTAGTGCTAGGAAACACTACTTTTTGCACCACGATTCCCAGAATCCCCTAGCCAACATAGCGAATTCTGGCAGTTGTAACCAAAATATGTAACTTTCCAAGCTCTAATCAATTCCCAGGTCATATTCTCTAAAGCCTCTGTAGATGAAATGGAGACAATACTGTTATATAAAGAGGAAAAGAAAGGTTTTCAGAGACTTGCGTTTCAACCTCTTCAAAATGATACCACTACACACTACTGAGTTCAAATCATATTATTACTACGGTACTATGAATTGTTATTGTGATAATCTATGTATCTTTTCATCCAGCTGCCATAAAGTAAGTATCTAACCAATTCACATACGATATTCACGATGCACGTATTTTGCCGTTCTTTTACAGGACCATAGAGAAAAGAAACAAAAAACCTGCCATTCAGCTAACTTATATTTAAAAATACCACCCGTTGAGGCTGTGGGGTTTATTGCTTAGGGTGGTAAAATGATAATTCTGCCATCCAGAGTTGCCTCACCTAGGGATCCTCCTTGATCAGCAGAAGAGATAGCAGGCTTTCTAAGCCAAATCACCATTGGCACATCCTACGGCAATCTACTCGTCAGAGAGAGGTAGGAAAGTTTCTCACATAAAGCACAGACCTCAAACAGCTGCTGTTCCTGTCAATCCAGGTATTTGTCAGTCATAGTCTGAAAGCAGCTAGAAGCATCCTTTCTCGAGAGATAGAGAGACAGTGGAACAAGCAACATCCTTAACTCAGCTGTTTAGGGCTCCTAGCCCTTGGCAAGATGCAAGGAGTCACTGTCTTTGAAAAGGCCCCTACTGGCACAGGTAAGTTTGGGGCACATCAATGACCAACAAGTTAAGGGACAAAGAAGAGATTACTTGGTCCCAACCTGAGATGGGGAAGACCCAGGCTTTAAATACAGCCCCTTTAAACAACTTTGATGTTGTCTGATCATGGCCTTTATGGACCAGGATGGGTTGAACATTCCCTCCCAGGGGGAGAACACAGTAGGTTCTCTACAATACAAATATCATTGTTATTTCAAAATCTTAACAGCATGAAACTAAGAACAAACTGTAATGTTAACATACTCTTCCGCAAGCCTGTCTCTTTCTCCACAGGAACGTTCCTCCTCATCAAGAAATGCTTGTAACTGGGTGCTCAGGAGATCATTTTCTTTTTTAAGTTTTTCATAGCACTGCCGGGCCACTTCCAGCTTCTCCTCTATCTAGAAACAGATCCAACTGTTATTACTTTAACTGAATAGCACAGCCGTCAAGATGTTGTGATAAAGGGCAATGGAACATAATAGGCATGTCACTTGTGTACAGCAGAAAATACATTGAGCAGAATTTGTATTCCCAACAATTAATTTTACAGGGATGTGGTGGCGCTGTTGGTTAAACCGCAGAAGCCTCTGTGCTGCAAGGTCAGAAGACCAGCAGTCGTAAGATCGAATCCACATGACAGAGTGAGCCCCCCTCGCTTCTCCCAGGTCCTGCCAACCTAGCAGTTCGAAAGAATGCAAATGCAAGTAGATAAATAGGTACCACCTCTGTGGGAAGGTAGTGGCCACGTGACCACAGAAGATTGTCTATGGACAAATGCTGGCTCTACGGCTTGGAGACGGGGATGAGCACCACACCCTAGAATCGGACACGACTGGACTAAATGTCAAGGGGAACCTTTACCTTTACCTTACAATTAATTTATTTTCCCTTCCACCGGGGCATTTCCTCAGAGATAAGTACATTAAAAGTCAGACTTACAAGTTAAGCTTCCCAACAACCTGTCATACAACAAAGCATGATAAATGTGAGACAAACATGTTTTTCACCACTGGGGGGAGCATCTCTGACACACACACACACACACACGCACACGCACACGCACACGCACACGCACACGCACACGCACACGCACACACACACGCACACACGCACGCACACACACACACACACACAGATCCTTCTAAGATCCTTCTTAGAGCTTCTTTTCTAGCTAATCTTCCTGGCCTTTTTGGGAGACACACACACACACACGTGTTGTGGGAGATCCTTCTTAGAGCTTCTTCTCTAGCTAATCTTCCTGGCCTTTTTTTGGGGGGGTGTTGTTATCACTGTTTTTGCCTGTTAATGGACTGGCATTTCCAACAGTATCACCCTTCAGGACTGTGTTCTGAAAAATCCTGTTGCTCAGTGAGTCCCTGCAGAGGCTACCTGTGCCACCAGGCAACAACAGAATCTGTGCTCACTTCGACCATAATGCCTTGAATTGGTGTAGGACCCTTGGGGTGAAACAATGGGCCAACCTGTCTCTCTGGGCAGCTGTACCGCCCTGCTTTTTGTTGGGAAAAATACACTCTTGCATCCTTCTCTTTTAACACTGGGTGTTTCTGGGGAGTATGCTCAGTATCTGGTATTAAAACTGGCAATCTATTAGGCAGCTTTAAAAATCTTGAGATATGGGAAGCTTCTGTTCTGCTTGACTTTGGAAGGTATAAATGAGACAAAGTTTTATATTTTTTCAATTGTTGCTGACATAGTGCTTCACAGATGCTTTGAAGGGGCTTTAAAAATTCTTTCAAAGCATCCCTAAGACATGAGCAACAATTACTGTAAAAAGAATTGCAAAATATCCTCTCCTTTGCCCTCCAAAGGCAAGTAGAGAGAAAGCTTTTCATTTCTTAACATCATTAAGTGGCTTCACCAAAGGGACAGTCAACCAGCCACTTAATGAGCTTGAGAAATCTTTCCCTTTAAAGAGAGAGAGATTGGTCCAGCTCCTACTAAATGAAGTGTGTGGCCAATCCTTTCATGTGTAGGAGCATCCCAAATGATATATCACTCACCAAAGTGACTCTGTTTAGCACAACTAAAGTTGATCCAGGCTGGAATAATTTGGCCATCTAGTCACAGCCTAAGTCAATTACAAGGAGAAATACAAACTACATTGTCCTGATCCCTCCCATCAAATAGCTGATGAGCATAAGTCAATCACTTAAAAGGAGAATACATATATATTTGACCTGTTCAATGCATACTGTTAGATTAGAGTCATTGTCTCCATTTATTTTTCAATATTTTTAAAGTCAGGGTTACAGTCAGAGGACACATATCTCTTCTTTCTTACATCCTTCAACTGACGCAGCAGCTCTTCCCTTTCTTCATCAAAGCCTCCTTCTTTGGTCGTTAGTCTAGTTTGAAGATCTGCCCTGGAAACGATTATAGATACCAATATTTGGATGTCACGCAGGACACTTTTCATTGCTTTGCAGTAAGTATTGATTATCTTTAAAAAACATCAGTTTATCAACACTGTACAGCAATAATAGCTAAGCATTAGCAGCTGGATGGCAAACATAGAAATCTAATGTATTTTTTTCTGCTTCAAATAAGTTCCTTTATGTTCAGTTAAGAACATTTTCAGGTTAAGATCAGTATTCTGAAATCATAGAACTGATGTTTTTATTTTTTGTCTTTTTGCTTCAGATGCTGTACCTTTATTCTTTCTTTCTTATTTATTTATTTATTTATTTATTTATTTATTTGTGTGTGTGTGTGTGTGTGTGTGTTTCTGTTTGTTCGTTTGTCTGTCTGCCTGCCTGCCTGTCTGTCTGTCTGTTTAAATTACATACCACCCTATTAGTGTAGTGCACTATTCTGGGTAGTTAACACAAAACAGAATCACACAAAAAAATAACCATTTATTTATTTATTTATTTTTGCGTGTGTGTTTCTGTTTGTTCGTTTGTCTGTCTGTCTGTCTGTCTGTCCATCCGTCCGTCCGTCCGTCTGTTTGTTTAAATTACATACCACCCTATTAGTGTAGTGCACTATTCTGGGTAGTTAACACAAAACAGAATCACACAAAAAAATAACCAAGGCAGAAAAATCATAAAAATCAAAACAATACCATATAGAGGTTAAAACTGAGATGGCGCAGAATTTCCATAACAAACTGACAGGGCAAAGGGCCACAGAAATTCATGTGAGCTTCCATTCAAAGGCCTCTCTGAAGAACCAAATCTTCAGCTATTTTTCTAGGGAACCCAAGTGGCTGGGCACTTTTAGGCACATGTCCTTTCCTTTGCTTTCCCACAGACATTTGTTTGGCCGCTGCCAGAAAGAGATTCTAAACTGAATCACCCTTCACTCTAAGCCGGCAAGGCTCCTTGTTTTATTCTGAGCTTATTGTACAAGGCTTTTAAAATGGTGTACAAGTCTACGAGAGACAGTTATTTCAACTCCTAAATAGCCATGGCACGTAATGGAATCTTGGCAGACTACGATCCTTGATGGCTGAACTGCATTTTACTTGTTGGCTCACAAATTGATTATAAAGACTTGATGAATATAGCTCAGCAGAAAGGAGGAGAAGGGAGGAAGCTGCCAGCTAAGGAAGAGAGGTGAGACTTCAACAGACTTTTCACAGTCAAGATCAAGGAAGTTGGCAATAACATCTACAGAATAACTTTTCCTGCCTTTTATGAGAGGGGGAAAACCCCACTGCATAGGTGCTCTAGCTTTCAGGAAAGACCATAGCTCAATCATGGAACATGCACTTTGCAAGAAGATACTGTCTCTGGCATTTCCAGATAAAAATACTAAAGTTTCACTGGATGGGGAAGATCCAGTATTTAGAAATGTGACTTTCTTGGGCTAGAAGTCCCAGAATTCAACATTCAATGATCATTCAAAAAGCATGATCAGTGCTTATGCTGGCTGAGGGAATTTGGGAGCCCGAAAAACCCACAACAACCATTAACCCTTCCAGTGTCTAGAAATAGCTCCTTTTGTCTGAGATCCTAGAAAACTACTGCCAGTACCATTATACAATACTGAATTAATACATGAATTGTTAGAATTTAAAAAGGCCACAAAAGTAACCCTTCCAGTGTCTAGAAATACCTCCTTTTGTCTGAGACCCTAGAAAGCTACTGCCAGTACCAGTATACAATACTGGATTAATATATGAATTGTTAGAATTTTTTTATTTTATTTATTTATTGCATAAGAAAGGCAACTTCTTACATTCTTTGAAGTCCTTGTAGGAATTGGGTCGAGACAATAATATAACAACTGCATCTTACTGCACATTAAATCATTATATTTAAACATCAGTATATTTAAAATTAGTCTGTGTGGAAACATATCACAGAAGCAGCTTTTGCTTACTTTTTTTTGAGGAGTTCTTCTTTCCTGGCCTTCTTTTCTTCAAATTCGTTTATTTGTTTTCTTATCTGCTTAAGAAGCTCTGCTAGCTCATCCCTTAGAGCCATATTGCTCTATCAAATGTAAAAAGTAAAAATGTATAAAGCAGGACCAAATGAGTACACAAGACATTTCAGGTCTTTTCAAACAATGCTTCTTTACAAGTTGGGACAGAAGATCCAGCAGCCAATGGTGAACACACACACACACACACACACAGAGACAGAGAGAGAGAGAGACAGAGACAGAGAAGTAGGAAATGTTCCTATCTCCTGATAAGGGTGCCATCACATTTTTTCACTTATAAAAACTGGCTTTGTTTGTAAAATTGTTCAAGTTTATGATATGAGCAACTAATATTCTCCTCCACACTTCTGTTCTTTTCATTACCCAAAGGCTACTTTGTCTTACCTTAGTATAATCTTCAATTTTCTCCTGAAGATCTTTCAAGTCTGAAGCCAGTTCAAGATATTCGTCCTTCTTTGCTGAATTTTCACGCCTCTTGGCTTCAAGTTTGCGCTGAAGATCTGCAATCTGAAGTCAAAAATAACTTTCATGTAACTAAAACATAATGTAATTACTGTATAACATAAAGCATATATCCCTCCTGTACTGTTTGTGCCCCTCTTTTTAGGCTCCTGTTCAAATTTATTCACTTCACTAGTCTAGAAAGATGGGATAACACAGAACACAGTGCAGTGTGAAGTTTTTATAAGAGAATTAATGATGATCTACCAGAAAAAGCTTGCAAGCTGCTTTCCTAGGCAGGCAACTTGTGAAGATCACAGGTAGGATATACTGAGACCTCTACATATAAAGAAACACCTCATGTTCTACTTAGCTCATTTTGCATTTTGCTCTTCTGGGCTGAACTTTCTGGACAGAGCCCTGACAAGAGAAGCATCAATATGGAAGGGTCTGTCCCCACTCATAAAGCTATCAGAAGTCATTAGCCCCAAGAAATTGTTAAAGCTGCTCCCCCCACCACTTCCAGGTTTGCACACAGATTGTACTTAAGAGAGGACCAATTCAATTTAGATCTTATACTGAGTTTTGTATCAGTGGAGTTTAGGATTGGCCACATTAGGAATAATTATCACTCTTTATTCTGGAAAATAACCATTTCCCCATTGGTTTGGAAGGGCTCCTCAGTCTTCAGTGAGTCAGCCTGGTGCTTTTCTGGCAAGAAATAGCCAGGAAAGGAGTTACCAGGAGGATAAATGGCCTTTTCTTGGCTCAGGAAATTGGACTCTGGCACCTGGAAAGTTTCTTTTTATTGCTGAAGAATCAGCTAACAGAAATGCTCTTTCAGTTATAGTATCTTCTCTTGGAGGCAAGAGATTCCAGCGAAGTCTACTCTGAACTTTTTACTGGACATCCTACTTATAGTATACTTGGTTAGAGGCTGCTGGTGATAGATACAATGTAGTGCCGTTCCTGAAAATATACCTGTGCATCCAACGTGTCTTTCTTTTCTCTAAATTCAGTGGCCTCATGAGCCATAATTATCTTCAGCTCTTCAATCGCATTCTTCTCCATGACAATTTCTTCTTCTTCTTGTTTCTTCAGATTGTGAAGTTCGTTTATCTCGATATTGACAGCATGTTTTTCAGCCATCTGCTGATTTACTAGTTCAATAACTTCTTGGTGTTTGATCCACAATTCTGCTTGCTCCTCACTGACCAGGAAAAAAAAAGACAGTGGGTGTTGCAACATCACAGATAGCAAAAGCAAAACAAAACCAAATTAAGTCTTCTGGCAATTTTAAGACTAGCAGATTTAGTTCACTGTAAGTTTTCATGGATGACAATAAAGTACAATATTCAGGCCTAAGTGGAATGAAATACAGAAGATGACAACTGCATTATTTACTCTGCTAATGAATTTTCAAATTTTTAATTACATAAGCATCTTGGCAAGAGACAGAGTCATTAGCAGAGTCATCAAAAAGACTCACATGTGCCAGCATGGGTTTCCACTGTCTGATTCTCATTAGCTTTAGTCAGAACTTAGAAATAACAAGTTTCTATCAAAATAAGAACAAGTAATCTGTCTTGTTTTTTTAATAAAGGGTGTAACAAAGCCACCCTTTATTTCAAAATAATACAAGATGTGGGAATGGGTAAACTGATCTGTGTAATAAGTAACATTTTCTAGTTACTTTTTAAGGGCATCTTGGCTGGAAGTAATGAGCAACACATTAATACTCAAGTAGCTGACTGAGTTACTTTTCTGGACACTGCCACCATTAATGAAAATTATTTTTTTAGAGGCTATAACAAGTAACAAGAACAAATTGCTTTTACAAAGTTTAAATTCTGTTTATTCAGGCATTTAAAAGGTGTACGACATATCCACCATTAATGAAAATTACTTTTTTAGAGGCTATAACAAGGAACAAGAATAAATTGCTTTTACAAAGTTTAAATTCTGTTTATTCAGGCATTTTTAAAGGTTTACAATATATCGACAGGTTACCCACCTGTAACTGTAGTTCTTCGAGTGGACATCTGTGAATCACACCCTGGGTGATTTGCATCTGCGCTGGGCCTCATCGGAAGCTCTCTAGAGCTTCCGTGGTAGCAATGAACACATTAGAATATGTCCCTCCCCACCTATATAAGTACCATGGCACTAAGCGCCCCCTTTCAGTTGTGTCAACCACCGCTAATAGTAAGCAAACAATGGCATGACAGAGGGGAGGACGGGTGGGATTTGTGAATTACAGAGGGCCACTCAAAGAAGTATAATAACAGGTGGGTAACCTGTCATTCTTCTTTGTGGCCTCTGTGAAGCACACCCTGGGTGACTAATAAGCTGTCTTACCCAGAGGTAGGGTGTCACACTGAGGTAGAGGCTAGAACAGCACGTCCAAATGCCACATCAGACTTCTGTCGGAGATCGAGTCTATAATGACTGATAAACATGGATGGCTGTGCCCAAGTGGCAGAGGAGCAGACGTCCAGAAGAGGTACGCCGCGGAGAAAGGCTATAGAGGCTGCCACTGCCCTGATGGAGTGAGGGTGAACCATTCTAGGGGCTGGTTGTCGAGCAAGTTGATAAGCCAAATGAACGGTAGAGGCAACACATCTGGAGATAGATAGGGAAGTCACCTGACGGCCTTTTGTAGGTAGCCGATGGCTTATGAAGAGACGAGATGACTGTCTAAAAGGTTGGGTACGTTGGAGATAAAAAGCAAGAGCTCTTCTGACATTCAATGTATGGGGTATTTTTTTCTTGGTTTGAAGAAGGTGGCGGAAAAAATGAAGGAAGGAGAATCGGCTGGGAAAGATGAAATTGAGAGACAAATTTGGGGAGGCAGGAAATGTCCATGAGTAACGGGACCTTATCGGGGGGGGGGGGGGTGAATTGTAGATAATGGTAGTCATAGAGTAAAGCTGCCAATTCACTAGCTCATCGAGCTGAGGTGATGGCTACGAGAAAAGCTGTTTTAAAGGTGAGGAGTCTTAAGTCAGTTGTAGCTAATGGCTTAAAAGCAGCTTTGGCAAGCTGTTTCAAAACAAGAGTTAATGACCATTGTGGAACGGTGTTGAGCCGTTCGGGATGGGACTCCTCGGGCAATGGGATAACTGAAGGATTGCCAGAAGGAATGGAAGGTTGTGGACTGGGAGGAAAGGACATTATTTGGTCAACTCTATCATCCCATTCTGGAGACTGAGAACAGGGTTGATGGGACGGACGTCTGTCAACATCTGAGGGAGATCCGACTGAAATTGATTCAGAGAGTTGTTGTGGTTGTGGTGGGATGTCTGTAGGCTTAGACTGTTTAGCTCGTTTAGGAGGAACAGGCTCCAGAGCTGGAGCAGCTTCAGTAAGTCTCTGACATTTACAAGTTCTTTTCGAAGTCGAGGACTTCGGTATCAAGGGTTTCAATTTGTGTGCCTTTGAGGTCTTAGACGATGCAGATGGAGAATCGGAATGAGCTGGTGTAGCCGATGGACGTTGTTTCGATGATTCATACCGGCTTTTTACATTGCTTTGGTTTGGGAAGTGGCCCTACAGGGAGTTTGGGCCATTTGAACTGGTTGTAAGGATTGTTCCCAAAGTCGGAGTTTTAGCCTCAAGAAGTGAGATCGAAGAACTCCACACTAAAAATTTTTGCAATGGGTACAGGAGGAAATTTGATGTTGGTTTCCCAAACAGAAAATACACTTAGCGTGTCTGTCGGAAAGTGGGATCTTATTATCGCAGACAATGCAGTGCTTAAATGGCCCCAAAGGGCCATGTATAAGAGACAATATTGAGGAGAAAAAACAATGATTGAAGGGGAGGGGTGTGCTGCGCCCAGATGCAGAGCGAGCGAGGGGAAAGGAAAAATCTCTGATGATAATGAGTTTGATCTAATAGTTTAAAAGAAAAAAGATTGATAACAGGAAAGAATCAAGAATAAGCTCTCTTTTTCACTCATCATCTCATAGGCATCTTTCAGTCTCGAGAGACTATGGTAACGTGCTCTGTATGGAGGACTTCGACGCTGTATGCGAAGCTGGAGTGTCCTCTCCAGAGCACAAAGCCTGGGTGTGAGTGAGAGTCAACAAGTGTGCCGTTCTCCTCGAAGAATCAGGCAGGAGAGACAGAAGGATGTGTTGTGGGGGAGCTGATTAAGATCGATGATGGAGAAATAGAGCGGAGCAAAGCTGTGGAGGTGTTTCTACCAGTGGGAAGACAGAAACAGAAGCGGGTGGAGTTAGATTTAATGAGATGGGACGAGATAAAAGAGGAGGAGGAGAAGGAGGAGGCGCAGAAGACGAAAGATGACAAGAAGATACAGACAGAAGAGAGAGGAGAGACAAGGTATAAATTTATAAATCTAGCAAAGGAATTCCCTAATTTGTTGACCAAAGGAGATCTGCTGCCTGACCCCCCTAACAAGATTAAGAAGTATACTGTAGTGAGAAAGCAGGATGGAATATGAGAGCGGTTTATCCTATGCAGGCTGTGGAGAAGAAGGAGATCCCTTCTGGTGCCAGTAGCTTTCTTCCCCGTCTGGAGGGAGACTATGTGAGACACCCATGTTGTGGGACAATATGTGCAGTACTGAGTTCCCCAGTGTGGAGCAAAGTTATGACAAACCCCTTTGGAGTGAAGAAAGATTAAGAAGTAATAGAAATGTTGAGTTCGGGAAAGTTAAAAGTTATAAGTTGTTGCCGGAGGTGAAGGCCTCTCGTTAAGTCCACATACATAGGCATCCTTCAGTCTCGAGAGACTATGGTAATGTGCTCTGTAAGGAGGACTTGGAACAGCGTCTAGTGTTTTGAAGCTGGAGTGTCCTCTCCAGGGCATGAAGCTTGAGTAAAATAATATGGAGGATAGGCTGTTACCCAAGCAGCAAATCCCCCCTCTCCACGTCACTGAAATAGTCCAATGGAAAGGCAAGAGCCAACACAACTGGTTCCAGCAACATCGCAGGAGTTGCCAGAACGACACGAACTGCCTCCAGGACTCCGGCTCCGGATTCTGCCTTGAGGTTGATATTCATATACAAAGACCCCAATCTCTACTCACAACCCACCTAGAAGCATCTTGTGCTCACAGCTGAGCTGGTACCCACACTGACTTCAACGCTGGTATTTTTCAGACCTATTGATCACATACTCAAGAGCACTTCCTCTAAAATTCACCTCAGGCCTAATTTAGCATAGCTCATCATCTGAACACATGCAGATGGAGAAAGAGGTATTTTTGATTGTATTATTGAGTGCCGGTGGTTTTTACCTGTTGCGGAAGATGGCGGGGTGATAGAGCCCGGGCTGTCATCTTCCGGTTCGGACACAGTCACAGTGGGGGAAAGCAAGAGCCAAAACAACTGGTTCCAGCGACGTTGCAGGAGTTGCCAGAACAACACAAACTGCCTCTGGGACTCCGGCTCTGGACTTTTCCTCAAGGTTGACTCCTGAAGCCTTTTCCATCAGTGGATATAGCCACAAGGCAGTGGGAGGTTTGAAATCAGATTTTTCCTTCTCCTAGATAGGCTGCCTTTCCAGGCTGACGAGTCCCACCTACTCGGCAGGTGGGACTGTGAGTTTTTTACTCACAGAAGCAGAATTATGATGCTCTCAACATGGCAGTTGAAAGAAACTGAAAGAGGACACTTGGTGCCAAGGTACTTATACAGGCGGGGAGGAACATATTCTAATATGTTTATTGCTACTGCAGAAGCTCTACAATCTTCCGATGAGGCTCCGCGCAGGCACAAATCACACAGGGTATGATTCACAGAGGTCACGAAGAAGAACTATCTGGGTACTGAACTTTTAATGAATGAAACCAACCCTATAGTCAAAATCAATCTGGGTAAGAGGGTGGTATGTAAAGCAATACCAATACTCTAGTATCACTTTCCCCAAAATTGTCTCCCAGGCCTCACCAGATTAAAACACATACTGTACATTTAAAAAAAAACAGATAAAATATACAAATGGTTAGCATTATTAAAATGCAACTATTAAAACACAATGGAATTTAAAGCAAATTTAATCACACCAATTCAAAAACAAACATAAAATCAGTATAGTAAAAGTTAATTTAAAACCGTAATTTAAAAACAATGAATTAAATTAGTTTGGAAAAGCTTACTAGAATAAAAAAGTATTTGTCTCACAATGGAAGGACAACAGGAAGAATCAACTCCACCCCACCCAGCTGCCTCTTGCAAAATATCATATTCTAAACATGCAGCTTAGCTTTGTTATGTACTGTATGATGTCAACTTCTCCTTGTTTTCTGTGCTCCATAACCTCTTTCACACACAACCCCCCGTAACTTCCAATCATTCTGAATGATTAGCGGATGAGCTCGTCCTCATCACTAGCATGAAAGCTTGCTGTAACACAGATGTCTATCATGTTTCTCAAGCGCAGCAAATTAGAAAGGCTAATTTTGATACCATAACTCCAAGAATCCCACAGCCAGCATAGCCATTTGCTCTGTTCTCAAGGATGAATTAGTTCTGTTATACCAATACACCTCCTACACACTGAGAGGGACAACCAGCTTCTGAGCCCTTCTTTCAGAAGTTAGTGGGATTTTTCAATTCACTAATCAAGGATGATTTGAAGACAGGATATATATTTTGGCAGGAAGCTGGACATTTGGTTCTTTCCTAATTAATACTGTATTAATTTTTTTGAAGGAATTGTGCCTACCACAAAGTGGTATTTTGCTCTTCCGAGAGCTCTTGCTTTGAATACGTTGCTTCTATTGCTGTGATGCTCTCATTAATGGAAACTTCTATTTCACTTAACTTATCAAAACGAAATCGATGGGCAGCAGCCACGAGTTCTACAACATTAAAGGTAAAGCAGACAAGACAGATTTGTTCAGATACAGGTATTGTTTAGATTCCTAAGTGGTTGTTTTCGTCATTCCCTCCCGCCCCCATTTCTGTATAGGTCTTGATATTCTAAAGATGTGACAAGTCCACCTTAAGAAGCGCAGGCCACAGACATAGATGCTCATGGGGAAGATGAGATGCAGTTGCCAAAGGCAGGAGTAAAGATCATTCAACTGAATAATTTGAGCCCTCCATTAAATTCACATACCAATTTCCAGGCCAGTGCACTTCTTTAAGGGGTCAAGAGACTGACAGAATCTACACTTAGAAGCCACAGAAGAGCAAGGCCTTAGGTCAGAGCATTGCCCCTTTAAATCCATGTCTGTTTGGGGCTGAAACATGGAGCAGTGCTATGAATCTGCTCCTGGATATACCCTGTTTTCCCAAAAATAAGACCTAACCTGAAAGTAAGCCCTAGTAGGATTTTTCAGGATGCTAGTAATATAAGCCCTACTCGAAAAATAAGCCCTAATTAAGTGATACCCTGCCCTCCACCCTTGTGCAGCAACCAGAAGAAGATATGACTGTCTATGAATAAATGTACATGGGGAAAAATCCCCTGAAAATAAGCCCTAATGAGTTTTTTGGAGCAAAAATTAATATAATACCCTGTCTTATTTTCAGGGAAACACAGTACAAACAGATGTATTTCAGTTATGAGCGGTGCCTGGAGGATGAAGAGTAGAAACAGACTACAGTACATGTAACTACAGTTCTTGCTGACTGGTGTTCTGTCCACATATTCAGCCATGTCTGAGTAGACCAACCCTGAGAGCGACAAGGCTCAACTGGTCAAAAGGGGATAACTTTTCAAGACCTGAAAAAACTGCACTCTGTGTCAAATCTGAATAGATTGTCCCTTCATTCAAATATCTCTCTAGCTTCCACAGTTCTCTTTGCAACATCTCTCCACTTACTAATTCCAAAACTTCGCAGGCACACGTAGAAGACTGGAAGAATCTTGATTTTTCAGATCATAAATCCATAAATGTTGGGGAGCAAGCACAGCACTAGTGCCTATAGAATTATTTTGGGGCTACATAGGTTGCTGGAACTAAAAACCATTTGTTAAGGTCCTGCAGCCTCAACTTGGCCTCTATAACAGCAACCCTGATGAAGATTAAAGGGTGAAGGGCTTTATCCTGCCCTTCCACTGCAGCAGTTCTTACAACTGGAGGACTGGAGAGAATCTTCCACCTAGCTCCTAGACTACTGATCCTATGCAGAACCACTGCAGTGGTCTCAACCCACAATCCAGCAGTCCTGACCAAGACAGCTCTTGATCTTCATCTGCTGTTATAAGCTGCAGAAAAACAGTGATCTGCTTTCTCACCATCCAACTGGTGGTTGAGTGGTCGAGAACAATATGGAGGGCCCCTGTGGAAGAGCACCTGAAATAGTTGGGGACTACATAAGACCTTAATTAAGTAAATGGCCAAAATCCTACTGACATATGCTAATTTACCTTGTATAACTAAAGAGGTGCCAGGCACATCCTGTGCAAATGGCTGTATGAGCAAACATGCAACTGAAACACATTTTTGTATTTCATCACTAGCATCAGAAAGCTACACAAAACTTACACAAATAGCAACAAGAGTATGGCCAGTATAATACCCCAACTTTTGGCTGTTTCTCTCTGTCTTCCCTTTATTTAATCAAACAACAAGGATATCCCAACTTCTGTGACCCAAGTTCAGAGAGTGCCACTGTAATATATTATACAAATTCTATTAACCTGTATAGGCTTGCCTGAAATGAACAGCCATACAGTTTGTAAATTTATTTCATTCTCTGCTTTCTCCTCTATGCTCTACTATATCATGAAACAAGTTAATTTGGAATTACCTTCGAACTCTTTCATAACAATCTCTGGAAGCCCTTTGATTCTGACACGGAGATTACAGTTTTTTATTGTTTCCTCTTCTAATAATTCTATTGTACACTTTCTTTCCTCTTCCTACAAATTGAGAAAAAAAATTCTATGAAGTACTGCGAGGGGTTCAGGACTCACTGCAGTACAGGAGTGTACTCAGTAGAATAATTGAGTTGGATGATGATGATGATGACAATAATAATAATCACGATGATGATGATGATGATGATGATAATATAGAATCATAAAATAATATAATAACCAAATCCAACCCTCTGCTTAATGCAGCAATCTCAAATCAAAGAAGATCTGACAGATGGCTGTCCAATTTTCTGTTGAATATTTCCAATGTTACAGTGCTCACCACCCCTCAAAGTAATTGGTTCTACTGCTCTAACAGTAAATACGTTTTTTCCTGATATTCAGCCTTAATTTGGCTTCCTGTAAGCTTGAGCCCATTTAACTTTTAACAACAGAACTTTGGGATCCTCTACAAAACTTCAAAGGGTTCGTAATCTTCCCCCACCTCCAGCTAGGAGGTGACGAGTGGTAACCTAATGATCCCCCCCAATCTCTCAATTGGGGTTCTCCTATCTTCAGCATTGGTCTGTCAGAGATCCCTGGAAAGAGTTTAAGAAACTGAAAAACAGGAGTAAGACACCATCATTTTATCACCTACTGTACAGTATATCACAGAAGTAAGTACATCCCCTCACATTTCATAAATATTTTAATTCATCTTTTCATGTGACAACACTGAAGAAATGACACTTGGCTACAATGTAAAGCAGTGAGTATACAGCTTGTATAACAGTAGAAAGGCCACAGGGAGCTGGAGGCAATAAGTACAGTATATCACAGAAGTAAGTACATCCCCTCACATTTCATAAATATTTTAATTCATCTTTTCATGTGACAACACTGAAGAAATGACACTTGGCTACAATGTAAAGCAGTAAGTACACAGCTTGTACAACAGTAGAAAGGCTACAGGGACCTGGAGGCAATAAGTGAGGAAGGCTAAGTCCCTACCGCCCCATAGTGCTTCAAGCACTCTCTGGGCGGTTTACAAGTTACGGTAATTATGCAGTCTACACATTGCCCCCCCCCCCAGCAAGCTGGGTACTCATTTTACCGACCTCGGAAGGATAGAAGGCTGAGTCAACCTTGAGCCGGCTACCTGGGATTGAACCCCAGGTCGGGAGCACAGTTTTGGCTGCAGGACAGCAGTTCAACCACTGCGCCATGTGCAGAGGTATACAAAACCATTAACAATTTCAGTTTCTTTGTTGTTGATATTAAAGTTACATTAAAGTTAATAAGTGAGAAAGGCTAAGTCACACTGCATTAGCATAGGTCCATCTATACATTGCTGTACTGACTAAATGCTCTACATTTCTAACATCAGCTTAAATATAGGACACACAATCACCAAACTCCCACATATGATCAACAAGAATGCACAGGTTCTGTGGGAGAACAATAGGCCCTAAGGCAAGGGGCAAGCAACTAGAGCCCTATGGATGCTTTTGGACTACAATCCCCATAATCCCTCACTAAAGGCTATCTTGGTATGGGATGATGAGATTTGTAGACCAAAGAATCTAGCATGTCACAGTTACCCACTCCTGTGAAAGAAGAATTCTGTGATCAAGTGTTCTGCAGCTCAAATAAGACAGAGGATCGCTTCGAAGAAGCCATGGGTATAAGTCTGGACAATTCCTAACAAATATCTCCAAAGAGTTTCTCCGGATACCACTCTTACAGAGAAATATTAGAACTATCAGCTGATTGCAAACAGACATCAGGCCCTAAGGCAAGGGGCAAGCAACTAGAGCCCTATGGATGCTTTTGGACTACAATCCCCATAATCCCTCACTAAAGGCTATCTTGGTATGGGATGATGAGATTTGTAGACCAAAGAATCTAGCATGTCACAGTTACCCACTCCTGTGAAAGAAGAATTCTGTGATCAAGTGTTCTGCAGCTCAAATAAGACAGAGGATTGCTTCGAAGAAGCCACGGGTATAAATCTGGACGATTCCTAATAAATATCTCCAAACAAAGAGTTTCTCTGGATAACACTCTTGCAGAGAAATATTAGAACTATCAGCTGATTGCATCCCAAACAGACATCTGTAGATCCAGTGTAAACCAGCTCAGTTAGCCCTATCTCTGTCATCAGAGAAGCATAAACACTTTAATACTGTTTATTTTTTACTTTACTTTTATTTTTACTTTGCTTGTTTAAATTTTAACATTACCAACTCCTTAATGGCTTTGATAGCATCTTCCAGGTGCTGCACAGTTTCCTTGTTGAATACAAGTCCTTCATTATGGAGCTGTTTTTCTATAGTTAAGACACAAAATAAACAAATCTTCACTATGCTGTCTGGCATTCAGAGTGAATAAAATGCTATAATAACAGGAAAGGTTTGCAGAAAACAGCAATAAGGAAACTGATCTGAACTACTTGAGTTCATATCACTTATACTGAAGGCTAAAACCTTCTGTACAGACTTAAGGCACCCCCCCCCAATAATGTGGAAGTTGTCTGATCAGTTCCCTTCTACTTTCCATGAGTCCTTGTTTCTGTGCCTCAAACCTGAATGAATGATGATCCTGGCCAAACATGTACTCGTGCCATAGTCACTATACTAGCCTTCCCTATCCTAATGATCTCCAAATGTATTGGCTTGCAACTTCCATTCTCCCTCAGCACTAGCCATGCTGTTTGAAGCCAATGAGGGTTGTAGTTCAAGGCATCAGGAGAAAAGCACAAACTTTAGAAAACCAGAAATGAGAAAGAGGACTGAACAACCAAGCAACACAACCTCTATACTATTAGAATTTATATGTCCTGGAATAGTATAAAAATTACTTTGGCGTGGAAGTACAATTAAAACTATATGTACTACATAGGAGGTACAGTAGGGAATCAAATTCCTGGTCTTCCAACTCAGGGAGGTATTAAGCCACCTAATGATCTCCAAATGTATTGGCTTGCAACTTCCATTCTCCCTCAGCACTAGCCATGCTGTTTGAAGCCAATGAGGGTTGTAGTTCAAGGCATCAGGAGAAAAGCACAAACTTTAGAAAACCAGAAATGAGAAAGAGGACTGAACAACCAAGCAACACAACCTCTATACTATTAGAATTTATATGTCCTGGAATAGTATAAAAACTACTTTGGTGTGGAAGTACAATTAAAACTACAGTATATGTACTACATAGGAGGTACAGTAGGGAATCAAATTCCTGGTCTTCCAACTCAGGGAGGTATTACGCCAGCTAGCAGTATTGCTACTAAGAGCAAAATAGTTGTTCTTTTAATTTAAGACATATTCATGTAATTGGTCATCTGTACGGGCAACAAAAACATGTAGTGAAAGCTGGATCAGATCACAAATGGCATAGTGGTATGAAGAGGAGTGCCACTGCTTTTCAATTTGAATTCCAAATACACCTTTGGACAAGCACTTGTTGATTCAAAAGATGGCATATTGTCAATGGATTGTTTGTTAACAGATGATACAATATTACTAGCTGACCACGCAAGTATCTGCTAAATTTAGAATTAGGATTTTTGCAATGATATGGAATTGCGGACTGTAATATAGGCAACTATAAAAAGAACAGACAAAGTAAAACTGTATTTAGTTGCAGAATGGTAAGAATTTATTGGATCAAGAGAGTGACTAGTGCAGAAGTACTAAATCGAATGAATAATGACCAAGGCATTACAAAAATGTCCGGAGGCTAAGTTGCCCTCCTCCCTTTTGTTGTTCTGTCTGGCATCAAGTAATTTCTTTTTCAACAGGTTTTTAACAATCACATAAGGTATTGAAGGTAGACTCTCCCCAAGATGATGGTATTTTAATGTGCTTTTAAAAGTTGTTTCAATGTTTATATGTTCAGTTTTTTATATTATCCAATGTTTCATTGGTTTTTTAAAATCGTGTATTGACATATTGTCGTTTTAGCTTTACTTGCATTTTCACTATTTTATTATATAACAAAGCTATACAAAAATCAAAACATTTAATAACACATAACAAAAAAATCAACACAGATCATGCTCTCCTCCCCCTGACCATTTGGGACTTATAACCATTTCTTCTCCCTCTATGGAGTCCCATCCCCTTTCCAAAATTCTCTTGCAAAGGTTAATACCCCTTCTCCTTAATAAACAGAAACTCAATTAATTCTCCGAATACCCCTTCTCCTTAATAAATAGAAACTCAATTAATTCTCCACATCCATCTTTCTGTCTGTCTATCTTTCCCCAATGCCATCTGCCCAACCACTAGATCATCGTGGGTGAGGCTCCTCCTAGTTGCCACCTGAGGGAGACCCGATAAATCATCTACAAGAGGTAGGGCCTTCTTTGAGTTGGCTCCAGCTTTGTGGAACCAACTTCCAGAGAAGTTTTGCTGGGTCCCCTTCCTGTGAACATTTAGAGGCAACTGAAGACATGGTTTTTCAATGAGTTTTTCTGCACCAACCCTAGTTGACCACTTTTTCGACTGCCATTTCTCTGCATTATTGTGTCGGTGCCATCTGTCTTATTAGTCGATTGTTTATTTTTTTAAAAACAGTTCTACTTTTATTTCTTTTTTCTGTTGCTTTTTAATCGTAAAGAGCACTACCTTGGCTCTAATGGGAATGGTATATAAATCAAATAAATGAATTAATAAATAAATAAATATCTATAGGTATATTCTTACTTTTCAATCTCTTATTAACTTTAATATTAAATGTCAACTCATCATTAGTAGCAATATCCCAAACCTCTCTATACCATTCATTTAACTGAAAATTATGCATGGCTGCTCCAAAGTCAAGACAGCCACAATGATATCTGGCATCTAGTATGTGGGGAACAAGAAAAATAAAATAATGTTGCAAGTCCTATTCTGTACACCTGTTCCATTTTCCTCCTGAGCCTGTTTCCATTTTTAGCTGCTGTCATCCCAGCAACAATAAACAGATTCTCAACTCACTAACAAAAACTCATGTTGTCTGACATTAGAAGAAAGCACAACAAAAATGAAAAGGATGCACAGCCTTCAATTTCTAAACAACACATGCAATGTATTTTCAGAAATTTCCAGCCTAGTGACATTTCTGTCAATTATTATTAGAAGGTAGCATTAATTGTTGACATCTGTTGAACTAAAACTGTATTGCCATCAACTATTCCCCCCCCCCCAGACTTGAGTTTACAAGAACTGGACAGGGTTGTTAAAGGCAGGATATTCTGGAGGTCACTGATTCATAGGGTTGCCATAAATTGGAGGCGACTTGACAGCACGTAATACAGCATTTCTTAACAGAAGTCTAATCCGGATTCGATACGTTCTGGACGTGAGATTTGTGTTCCCAAAGAAGATGCTTTTCTACAGATGGCATTAATTTAATTTTGCTTTGGAGCAATAGTGGCAGGGTTTAGCAGTTAGCCAACAGATTACTGTACCTCCTTTAACATAACATCACTGAAAATACTTACTCGCTAAGATTTTTCATTTTTTTTTCCTAACAATGTTGGATCCACATACTGTACAGTAATTGTTTCAAAGTCCAGAATGTTAGTTTCAGTCCTTTTTTAAGGTTTTCAGAGAAAACCCAAGATATGGGAACAACACCCTTTTTCTAATTATACTGAATAATTCTGAGAACCACTGTCACATCATTCTATACAATACAGAAAATTCTCAGTACACTCAGTGAGGCTTACGATTTAGGTAAGTATGCATTGGCCTGAGTGTCAGACAAGTCTGCATGCACAAAACATGTATATCCACCTGCTACATCAAAGAAACATGGGTTATGACCCACCCCCCCAGTTATTCTGGGATTATGCAAGAGGAAATCCTGTTGAATTCCATGATATCTTCTTCTGAATAAGACTACAGTGGCTCTTCCTAATATAACGTTTTAAAAAACACCAAAAACTTACTGTTGAAAATATTTTAACAAGAATGATTTAAAATAATTGCATAAGTAGAATTCCAAGATACAGTACTTCTTTTAGGGGGCAATTCTGTATTAAAATAGCTAGGATAAATCCCACTCAGTTCAGTGGGGTTACTGGTAAGCAGATACATACAAGCTTGCACTATTAAAATAAAGTCCTATCTGGAGTTTACTGAAGCTATGCTCCATTGCAGTTAGTGATCAATATGTAGGTATGCACAAGACTAAACCGTTAGCCTGTTAAAGCAAACAAGAGTCTTGTCAGACTGTAAAAAGCAACTACTGTATAATGGGAGGACTGCATGTATAGTATGTTGTACAGTATAGTATGTTGAAATGTATCCCATATGTTTGTTCATCTTTAAAACGCAACAAACCTTTGTTTTTGGAAGAAGAAGAAATGAATCAAATTTCAAAATCATGTATCATTTCTGTTAACCGCTTTTTGTATCCTCTCACCATGGATTGGAAAATAAAGAAGATGGTTCAGTTAGACTTCCACACCATCTTCCAATGGCTTAAATGTCCCCGCTCCACAATAATTATGACCAATTCACTTTATTGTGACTGATGAAAAAGGAGTGTGTGATCACCTCCATGATGGGAAGGCCTGGATCTCAGGTCAAAGGTGTGCGAGAGAGTGAAGTTTCAGGGAGAAGCACATTTTCTTTTTATGTGATGAGAACAGCTCAGACTTTAAGACTATATTAGAAAACAGAATATTATCTAGGGAAAATTCCCTTCTCTCTTATTAAAAAAGATCCACTGTATAACTAAGATATTTTCTCTTGACAAGGGAGGGCTTGGCACAAAGAAAACTGCCTTTTTTCATCTCTGATGGCTTTTGTAAAATCTCAAGTCATTTTAATTTCCTGTGACTTGGACTTTGACAGTCAGTGTGACTCAATCCTGCATAGAAAACAAAACGGGGGGGGGGGAAGGATACTCTCCAGCAGGGAAGACAATTAGTTGCCGAATATCATTCGTGGGTCAGAGGATCTTCCTGTATGCTGTACAAATGGAAATGTATTTTATAAACATTAATTTGGATAAGATGTTTTAGGGGCATTGGTATGCTTATGTTAATTAGTGTATGCTTATTGCAGTATGTACTGAATTTCCCTCGCTGTCCCCCCCCCTTTCGCACTGTATTTGCAATTAAAAACCCAATTATATATATGAAGCAGCTTGCTCGGCAAACACGCAAAGACGTGAGGTGCATCCTGCACACTTAATGGCGAATCTTTGGAGAAGGAGAAGGGCGGCTTCGGAAACAGGAGCAACGGAGGAAACGGTCAAGCAAGCTCCAAGACCATGGGAAACTTTGCTTTTATATACTGTATTATAATAATCAGGATAGCGGGGGCGG